CTGATTTCTCGCGGATGACGATATCTCACTGGATAAGAGCCCGTTCGCGATGCCGTCAGCTGGAAACCTTTTCAGTTTTCTTCGCTTGATCTGTACGTGTACGTGGTTGCTTCCAGTTCCGGCCGGAAACTGTTAGACGATGTTCCGTACTCGTACCTGTGACTGAAAATGGGATTTTCTTCCCGCGCGCACCTCTTTCCTGTTAGAGGCTTTTCGATGCTCTGATAGTGTAGCTAGAGCCTGATTCTGTGCACCTCTTCTCTGTTGCAGGTGTTAACTCTCTTCAAGTCAATTGAACTTGATGTCTTTGACTTGTTTTACCTTGATATCAATCTCGGAGATCGAGATAGGTAGTAGCTCGAGATGGCTTTTTGCTTTACAGTGTTAGCTAGTAAAACTGCAGCTTATTGGGGAGTAATTGGTTTTTGGATAAAGCTGTAAAGCAAAAGTGATGATTTTCTGGTGGTGCATAGCAATTCTTGTGATTGAATTGGATATAAGGATCCCCGCAACAACTTAGACACTAAAACTCCCTTGTTCCTTGCATGATAATTTACATCGAACCGGACTAGAGATTAATACACGAGTCAATAGTAAAGGGTTCAGTATGTTTCCTCCAACAACCACGACCACTCAACAAGGGCAATGTAGAAAGGTATTTCATCGGATACCCCTTGGTAGCTGTCTTGACCACTCCAATAAGCGAAGCCGCCTCTTGAGCCGACAGCTGTTTGGACAGAAGCAAAGTAGCTGTCGCCGACAACTGTCCTGTCAGTGTTAGACCAGTACTGACCAAGTCGTAGAGGATATTGCAGCCATGGGAGAATCTGCACGATTAGATGGAGAAGACAAGTGTTAATAGTTGAACAACAAAGTCATGAGACATCACGTGGAACATACCATGTTTTTCTTTTTGAGCATCGTGTTCCCTTGTGTCGGCATCATCGTCTGTTGCTTTGACAAGCTTCAACTGTAGCATGATTCCATTTGTTCCGTCAGCAGAGTTCTGAATCTCACATCCATCTTCTGGCTTGCGATCAAGAGCAATGTAGTGAGGTAATCCAATGTTGATCCAGCTTCCACCCAATCCATACCATCGACTCATTGACTCATCGACACAGAGGATCCAAGAAGGAACGTAGTACTTGCGACGGTGTTCATTGAACCTGTCAACGAATCCTTGCACTGGCATCCATCTGTACTCCTGCGACCCCATATGATCAGGCTTTTCCTCCGGCTGATGACTCCAGACCATGTAGCGATTGAGATCCTCAAATCGATTGCGAGTCATTCCTGTTTTGCCAAAGTTGGGTGCAGGCATGTACTTCCTGCTGCTCTGAGTAGCCCAAAGTGTCTTGCGATCCCCAAATTCAAAGCGAGTGATCAACAAGAGATGCCAAAGTATTTGAGGAGTTCCCCCATTGTGAGCTCTTTCTTCTTCTCCTTCTTGAGCACTTTGCTTGTTTCACGGATCATGTAATCCATCTGCGTCTTGGGGAAGCATGCCATGAAGAAGTCATATGGTGGGTGCTTCAACTTGGTGTTGCGGCGGTACTCATCACAGCCAGGAGTGTACTCCCTCAAAGTGAACTGACAAGTCATCTTCCAAGAACGAAAGGGCGTTGGACCATTGCAAGGAATGTCCGTGGGCTTGTCTGTGTACCAATCATATCCATGGCTTGATGCGACAGGTGTCCGTCCTGTGGATGATGTTCCGGTGCCGACAGATGATGGTGAGGGCTGTTGTTCCGGATTTTCAGGAGAAGAACCTTCTTCTTCTGATCCATCCGTCACTGTGGTAACTTCAACTCCGTTCAATGGACTGGTTGCTTTGGGTGTCTCAGGTTCTTGTTCAGGGTTGGTTGGTTCGACTGGAGGAGGATTCGAGTTGGCCGCGGCTTGTTCTTGTTCCACGATGGCTCCGATTGGATCAACACTTGGATTTGGGTTGCTTGCCTTCAAACTCTGCATACAAATCCATTGCTCCACGGCTTTCGTGGGCCCAAGCTTGTACAGTGCCTTGATATAGTTGGTTCCTCTCTTGGCATCCGGTGTCTTCTTCCTCAACTCAACAGCTTGCACAAGTCCTTTGATCCAAGTGTCGCCACATGCAGATCCAAAAAGTCGCTTTGCATCATGGGTTACATGCTTTGCCAGGGCCCAGCACTCCCCACCCACAACCTTCCGGGTGTCGCTGACAACACTAGCCATGTTGCTGTCGAGATAATAGCGCCAAAGTAGCGGAAGAGTGGTGGAAAAGCGCCATGGTGATGCTTTTTCGTTTCTGTGGAAAAGAAATGAAAATCCGATCGATCGGATTTTGCCGAGTAAAGCAAGCTTCCATTCCCATCTGTTGCGCCATACTCAAGCGGCCTGGCCTGCACATTGTACTACCCAAAGCTATAGTTAAATAACGCCAGCAGTTTATCAAGCTATTGGCAATGTATAATATAGATAGAGCGAGGGAGTTTATATGGCATTAATTAACGCAGATAGCGTTAAATAACGCCGCTGGGCTGCTGGACACTAGCTACCAGGTAGCCACCGTTGGCTAAGGGAAGAGAAACACGACTCAATTAATCGACTGCGGGTTGGAAGTTGGAAGACCCACACTCATTGCTGACGTGTTGTGAATCGAATCGAATCGAATCGAATCACAAAAAAAATCCAAAGATCGTAGAGATCAAAAAGATCCAAAGATCCATTGATATGCCTCCTGGCTCGTCTCCGTTTCCATAAATCTTTTATTACCAACACCTAGTATTCGCGCGCTCCGCGCGCTCATCCCTTTCTCTGCTTCGCCCCGATCCTCATTCATGCGAAAAATGTGAAGAACGCAAGGCGACTTTCATGTGCATGTACATGCGTTGACTGTATCCCGTCAATACAATACTAGTCGAATACGTAGACTTCTACAGAGGCCTCTAAGTAATGCGCGCGGGGTATAATTCAAACCTCCACTCCCCATCGGTACCCTTACCCCTAAAAGCAAATCGTCTCCGGGAGACGAAATTGAGATGTTTCTCTGTTCCGACTTCGCTTTTCGAAACATTCATCTCTGCTCTCGATCCTTTGATCTCTATCTCTCATTCATCCTTTCCTGCAACCATCATCATCAGCCCACTATAAAAACAAAAGAGAAGGGAATAATCAGGGATGCGTATCATGGCCATCTCACCGGCATTTTTGGCCTTGCTCCTGCTTGTCGGCAGGGTGTCGGCATTCCAATCCCTCCCTCTTCAGCGCGTTCCTGTGTTGTCTTCCTTAACCCGACGCAGGGCAGTCTCGGTCGATTCGAGTAACAGCAGGTCACATAATGAGGAGGAACCGTCTACTAGCATTCTGTTGGGAAAGTCTCCAAAGGGTACGTGCGTGCAATAAGGAGACTCAATAAACGACGTTGGCTGGCACTGTTTTCTAGCTATCCACTCAATAAGCTGTCCTTCCTCCTTCCCTCTCACATGCATGCATGTAGCCGTCCGATTGAGAAAGAATCTTCAAGAAATCTGGTCCGACCCCAGTGTTAGTCCTATTGTCATTGTGGGACCAAAGGGATCTGGAAAGCCTTCCATCGTGGAGGAACTACTGGAGCGACTCCCATCTTGGCAGACGCAAACCATTCATCGACTGGATATGGACGATGCCGCCAGCCTTCTAGATACCATGCTTGGTACAGCGACCAATACTAGTACAAAAGGCGAGCAAGGGCTCTTGGATATCCTGTCAGACCAACAAAACACCACACTAGTCTTGAAGGGATTTGAATCTCGTTCCAGTTCCAGTCAAGACGAACTCAGTAGACGCCAAGAGCTGCAAGCAACCGTCACCAAACTCTTGACAGAACAGAGCTTTTACAGCCGATGGCAAGGCCGAGAAAAGACCTTTCAACCAAGGATCGTTTACTCCCAGCATACCTATGGATCTCAGGAACCAGAGTTTCTAAAAAACAAGAAGCCAGACAATCGAGTATTGCTGCTCAAGGTTCCAGCGATTGAATCCAGAGGAAAGGACCTGTCTCTCATTTCGCAAGCCAAAATCAACGTGTTTCAGAAAGAGTACGGACTACGCAATGTACAGCTCACACCGGAAGCCAACAAACGACTCTTGGATCATACGTGGGGTGACGGAGAACCAGAGCTCGACCAAGAACTCCGCAATGCACTCCTGCGGCTAGCTTTGGAGAAGAAACGGAATCCCTACCTCTTTGAAGGACCCTTACCATTCCTTCTACTATCCAGACACATGCTCACAAACGCACCCAACGAATCGATGCGTCGTCGTTTGCTCTACGACTTTCCCTTTCTACGCAGAATCATAGAGTCACCTTGGATATTTGATCACCTACAAAGATACATTGTTGCACCCGTCTTTGTGGCATTTTTGGTGATACTCTTTTGGGGTCCTCAAACCCGCGACCATAGCGCTGCACTCACCGTGTTTTGGGCGGGATGGTGGCCAGCAGTCATGTTGAGTTTCCCTCTTTTGGGGAGAATCTGGTGTTCCATTTGTCCCTTTATGGTGGTGGGCAATTTGGCCCAAGAAGCAGTCACGGCGGCGGGGGTGGAACTGAAAAAGTGGCCCAAATGGGTCAACATGGCGGGTGCTCCGTTTGCATTTGGTCTCTTTTTTGGTATATTGGTTTGGGAAGAACTCTGGGACTTGCCACAAAACGGTGCTCTATCGGCTTGGTTGCTGCTGTTGATTACGTCCGGAGCTCTGTTTAACTCGGTTCAGTTTGAAAAGCGAATGTGGTGCCGCCACCTTTGCCCGATTGGTGCCATGTGTCGCACCTTTGGCACCATGTCCATGACTGAAGTCCGATCTTTCAAGGCCAATTGCCAAGGATGCACCAATCCACAGTGTGTGAACGGCGATTCGCCTGTGCCCTCTCCTACGGATACGTTTGCTCTCAAAGGTTGCACTATGGGCCTCAAAAACAATCAACTCACCGATATGGGACACGTAAGTGCATTATTGACATGGCTGCGGGCCTCCCTCCGTTTGGCCCAATAGAGCACACTGACACCCTCTGGTTCTTCACTGGGCCCCTCTCGCTCGCTCATTCTTTTGCCCATTGCAGTGCACATTGTGCATGTCTTGCGTCAAGAACTGTGACACACAAGTACCGGAAGTCAATACTAGACCACTTGGAATAGACTATGGACTCCCCTGGTTGTTGCCTCCTGCATTTCAGGATCCAAAAAACATGCAAATCTCACAAGTCGAAACTAACTTTTATATGGGAGCCTTGCTGACGGTGTTGCAGGGCTCTGTCCTCCTTCATTACATGCCGCAGATGTTGCATTATCTTGACCTAGACCCCGCAATCAGCACTGCAGCACCCGCTCTCGACTCTGCTTTCTACATTCATGCAGCTGCGACAGTAATCATTTTGGCTCTGCCTGGAATTGTGAGTTTACTCGTGGACCAAATTGCCGTCCCATTGGAGAATGCTCTCCTCTCGCTTAAAGTATCATGGGGCAAACCAACAATCGAAGAGGAAGCTAAACAAAGAGCCATCGTTGATGCCTATGAGGCGTTGCTGAAATCCGACAAAACACTTGAGGACACATTGGAAGAACTCGATCCAGATAGAGACGGCAATATTGCCTGTTGGGAGGTCGAAAGAGCTTTGAAACATCTACAGCTGCCCGAAACGGAGTGCGAGACTCTGATGGACTTGACAAGGAAACGCTTCGGTCGACGACGAATAGAATCCATGCCAACGGAGGCATTTCTAGATGCCTTTCAGCAGCTTTACGTCGAGGCTCGTGGCACCGATGATTCTCTCCCAACAAAAGTGCAACTAGAAACACAAAAGACCTTTGTCGAGCTGTTCAATGAGTTGGACGAGGACGGCGATGGGTTCATCATGCCAGGGGATTTCGACAAACTCATTGACCGAAACTTTCGAATCCAGCGATCGTGGGAGGAAAAGCTCGAGTTGTTTCGCAGTGCAGATGTCGTAGGTCAAGGCCGTCTCAATCTCTTTGAGTTCATGACCTTGATACGTAAGATTGCTCAAGCTGGCATTCAAGAAATTGGATATGGCTATCTGCCCCTCGCTTGGGCGTCGCTCACTTCCTATTGGATCGGCCTTGGACTGAAAGAACTGGGTCTTACGCTGGAGCGCTTGCCGGATACATTCTACCTGGATCGACTCTTTCCAGCCATCCACTTGCCCTCCCTGGTTGCATCCGATGAAACAGTACAGTTCGTGCAGGCTTTTCTGGTGATCGGCTCCCTTCCTGTTTCGATTGGACTATTGCAAAAGCTTTGTGATGACAACAAAATCAGTGGCCTTCGATTTGGTAGCCATGTTGCGGTTCAGGTGGTTGGAGCTTGGGCCACAGTCTACCTGATGCTTTCTTCCACTCCGTTTGTGGCTTAAAGAATTGAAACTCTAGACTACAGTTGAAAAGATTTCAGCTTGAGGAACATGGACGAGAAAGCAACAGAAGACCACCAATCCACATGTACTGCAATGAAACCGGTGTGCCTGCGGGCAGAATCTTTGATTGGGGAGGGGGAAGAAAGAGCACTAACTAGAGAGAGCATTGTTTGCTGTGCTACCTGTGACAAAATGGATGAATCAATCTCTCAAAGCCTAAATGGATGAAGGCGGCAGCATGTCAAGCTGGGGCGAGCAGTTGAGCGTGCAAAAAGCGGGGTGCCCGAGCTGGCATGAACAGCAGCAGCAAAGAAGTGTTTTTGGGCTCGGGCTGGCTGCAGCTATCACTCGAGAGTCGAGTCCCCGTGGCTGTTAGTAGCTTTGTTAGCTAGCTAGTTCGGTAACTTGCTTCGTGATGGCGAAGAGCTCATGCAGTTCGCTTCTCTTCTGGCTACTACGGTAGCTGCTGCGATAGCTTGGCAAGTGCTACTCGAGGGTTTTGGTGATACTATGTAGTTGGGAGGAGGAAGAAGGACTTTGATGTGAGATGGCGAAAACCACCAGTTCCAGGTAGCCTTACCCACATGCCATCCGTACAGTACAGTAGACTAGCTAGTCTAGCTAGCTAGTAGGGAAATGTATTCAAGGAATGCGGTATGTTTGGGGGTTTTGGTGCAGAAAACAAATACTAGCTAGTCTAACTAGATACCTGGTACGTTAAGGAGCCCAGGGGGGGTACTGTAAGCTAGTAGGCAGAGGGGGGGGGGGGGTGGTGGGCGTACTGGGAGAGCAAAGCAGGGCAAAGGGGGGACAGGGAAGGTGGGGGTTATTTTAAGGTTCTGTTCTTTTCAAAGCACGACTTGCGTGGACCGAGAGCGGATCTTCTTTACAGTCGTACAACCACAACACCACAACAAACATATTGATCTTCTGGCCCGGAGTATTCTGACTGTATCCTCTTCTGTCTTGCACTTCTGGGAACATTATCATCATCATCATCACAACTAAGTCCCCAAAGATGATGCGACCTGCTGACTCCAGCAGCGATCTAAGAGGGCCTTTCTTGAGCGAGAATAATAGTGATGCGCCGTCAGTCCCTCACTATTCTCCCTTGGGTTTAGATGACTCTCCCGTCATCGTCCTCATCAAGACCACCGATAATACCGACGACATGGAAGATGGGACTTCCCAAACGAGCAGTACTACTACTGAGACAAGAAATCAGCAGATATTGTTGGAGGTTCTCAAGTTTGTGCACGTGTGGACACGACGAGGGCAGTGCACGGTTCTTCCTCCTGTGTTGGTGTTGGCCACGTTGCTGGCACCAGGTCCCGCCTTCACAAACTTCGTATGGCTGGTTGCCATACTAGCAAATCTTATTGTGTTGTGGGTAGCTGTGGTGGTTCTTCCTATTGGGGATTACCCTGATGTCCGAATGATAGATTTGGCACCGACGGCGGCCCTCTTCGGCGCCTATTTTGCCGTGGCAAATTCAGGGTGGCACGACTACTACGACATCACAGTGTGGATCATGATGGCGTATATGTTTGGCAGTCTTATTTGGATGCAACTCACCATGTGCGCAAAACGGTTTTGTCTTGTGAGTACTAGCAGGAAGCTCCTGGCTTGCTGTGCGCTTGTCTCCTCAATGGTGACGGTCCAGCCATTGTTAGTGTGCGTATTTTGCTTGGTACCGTTCCTGGCAACCCGCAATCGTCGAGACCCTTGCAATGCGTTTTCGGTTGCTGCCGTGTTAGAGATGTATTCGCGTCTGCCATTTCTTCGACAGATAAAACAACAAGAGCAGGCTGACTTGGAGGCACGCCACCAAGGAGAAGAAGCGCGAGAAGCACGGCTAGAACGACAGATCGCCAAACTTGGTCGACCAGAACCGTCGCAGACAAATCCGGGTCGGAGGGGTGAGTGCCTGTTTCCAGCAATACTTGGTTTCCTCTTTCTGTGGTCTGTGATATTCCTCTTCTTTGTCGACATGAACTGTTTCGTGCGTTTGTTGCAAGTGCACTGCACCCCCGGAAAGGGGAGGCTCCTGGAATATTTATATGTGGGTGGCTCAATGAATATGGATTAGTCTGGGCAACATTTGCGACAATCCCAGTGTGGATGATGCCTCGTAGGCTTGTTGCTCGAAATGAGACTTCGAGTTCCCGCAAAAATCTTTTCCTCTGGAAGCCGGCATTGCTACGGTACTATACTGCATACAGAAAACATAAGTCGACAGTCACACTGTCGATGGGCTTCTTTTGCTTGTGAGGCCAAGATCGTCTCTTAGCTCTCTGCATTACCTAAGACACCCAATTGTAAATGCAGGGTCACATGTTTGGCCACATGCAGCTTAGCTAACAGTTTGCCCTGGCGGCCCCTACCCACAACAGTTGAATCGTAATCCTCCGATGAAAACCCCCAGCACCAAGCCCAACTACCTTGTCGGATAGATAGACCGCTACATTGCCACCTTGACCGATATTACAATCTTGTCGGGTCTTGGCTTGGGGGCAACGATTGTGTGATCGGAGACAACCATGGGGGCTAACTGGAGAGAGCCTTGTTTGCTGTGCTACCTGTGACAAAATGGATGAATCAATCTCTCAAAGCCTAAATGGATAAAGGCAGCATGTCATTCTGGGGCGAGCAGCTTTGAGCGTGCAACTTTGAGCGTGCAAAAAACGTGGTGGCTGGCATGAACAGCAGCACCAAAGAAGCTTTTTGGCTCGGGCTGGCTGCGTCTATTACTCGAGTTGAGTCCAGTCGAGTCCCCGTGGCTGTTAGTAGCTCTGTTAGTTCGGTAACTGCGTGATGGCGAAGAGTTCATATACTGTTCAGTCTTTTCTAGCTGCATGTACGGTGCAACTGCTACGGGATAATTTGGCAAGACAATCAATGGCAACTGTTATTCAGGTGCTACTCGAGGGTGTTCGGTGATACGGTATACTAGTGTTGGGTGGAGGAAGAAGGACTTTTGTGCTGGCGAAAACCATGGCCATCCAGCACCGGTACCCACATGCATCCTAGGTACAGTAACAGTTGGCCCTACCGGTAACCCCCCTAGCTAGCATTGCAATCCCTGGAATGGTCTGCGACAGCACTGGATTTCCCACAATGAACTCTCCCCACAATGAAAATCCCCAGAACCAAGCCCAACTACCGTGTCGGATAGATAGACCGATACACGGCTAGACAGCTACCTGTACCGGTATACAACAATTGTCGTGTGTTTGGGGGCATGATTTTGTGAGCGGATAACACATGGTCCTTCGCTCGATACTACCGATACATAAACCGGCTCAGTACCGGTAATACCATGAGGGCAGAAGAACATACCGGTAGCGACATGGTCGTCCTTCCGATATACCAGCAGCATGCCAACCACACTCAGTCAACTGTTCACCATTACCGTAGCAGCGACAAGCCGACCGACACCATGACTAGCTAGCTGTCGTCGTCGAAATGTCGTCTCATCCAACACTCAAAGAAACGCGTACATGTACCGGTAGAGATTCCTCCCATCGTGTCGCGGCGATAGAACAGCGGCAACAGGAGCTCAGCCATTCAGAGCTCTCTACTCTGACCCCTGCTTTGAGACCATCAGATACCCTAGGGGCCACAGAGCCATGGAAGCCATCGAAGTCTTCTTTTTAGACCCGCCATTGCGCCACACACGAAACACCCAGAGGTGTGTTTGTGGTTAGGGTTAGATTTCAGTTTGGCAGCAGTCACGAATTGAACTAGTAAAAATAATAAAATAAAAATGAATTTTGATTTTAAATCTTTTTGAAAGAAGGTTTCATTTCAAATTGAGTCTTACATGACCTCGTGCGATCTCGCGCGATCTCGCGTGATCTCGCGCGATCTCGCGCGATGTAGTATTCGTGGGACTCAATTTGAAATGAAACCTTCTTTTAAAAAGTTTTAAAAACATACTTCTTAATCAAAAACAGGTTTCACAAAAGTTTTCTATGCTACTGTATATACCGTATGAGAACTGAGTACTGTACTGTACGTTTCTCAGAACTAGAATACCGTACAGAAAACAACATGCATCTACTGTATGAACTGCGTGACACCTATCGTGAACAATGATTTTGTGGGCGGAGAAAACCATGGTCATCAGAACTATTAAAGAATGTAGCGTGTTAAATCCTCCAGCTGCACTGCAAAAAGGCTTGACGTTCAAGGTAAGTTTCTCCGAAGGACCTGCGTCAGGGTCGAGTCTTGACGATACCGATTGATGGCTGGCTGCAGTCAGAAGAAGAGGTGTCTGCTGGGATCTTCGGCACCGCTGAATCATTCATTCCATTGACAGTGAGTGAGTGAGTCCATTGGGAAGGACAACGATGAGGTAGCCTGCAAACTCATCACGAAGGAAATCAACAGTTGTCCGAGTGAAAGACATACGGTGTCAGCCAAAAGTGCCAGCATTGCCGAGACTGAGCCAGTTGAAGTTCAATTTCTCAACAGAGAGACCCACAGATCCTACACTACTGGTGTTCTCACTTTGTTCGAGGTTTCTATTGTGTGATAAAATGATTGCTACTTTGCCAGAGAATACCATCATTACTATGGACAGGATGCCTCTGCTACCCACTGCAAAGGCAGAAAAATTGAGGATTGTACCTCTAAGATTGGAAAATCCCAGGCGATGGCAAAGAGTGGTGGGAACAGGTGTTACTTTATTGAGCTTCACATGTCAGGCGGCTCATGGGTTCACCGTGCCCACTGCAGCCAATAGCAGGAGCAGGAGACCTGAACCAGGCCGAACTCATCCATCCAGCAGTCAACGTTTGCACATGATGATCCAACCGGATCTTCATTCCCTCTCGGAAGTTGTTCATCACGGGATGACTTCTTCCTCTCATATCCTGTCGGAATCACAGCAGTTGTTGGCAGCAGCACCTCAAAAAATACTGAGCTTGCCCTTTGAAGACATGGGAAAGGATCTTTTTGATTCACTCAATGTTGGAAAAGCCATTGGGCGCAATGTGGGAACTATACCCGACAAGACCATTAGCATTGTCCTCGACAGTTTGGGCAGAGATATCTTGGTGTTTTTGACGGCGTCCGTCGTGGTGACACTCCTTTCCAAAGCATGGAACATTACACCCATTTTGGGATACTTGGCGGCTGGCGCCCTGTTGGGACCCCACGCTCTGGACATTTTTGCCAATACCAAGGCCGATGTCGAATTGGGAGACTTCGGAATTCTGTTCTTGCTCTTTAGCGAAGGATTGGAAGTGTCCAGCGCACGGCTGACACAATTGACTCGATATTTACCCTTGGGATTTGCGCAAATATCGCTCTGTACCGGTGTCATTACGGCGGCCATTCTAGGTGGCTTTCCAGAACTACTCAGAGAACTGAGTATCCCCATTCAGGCTACATTTATTCAGGAAATCAACCCTGTCGAAGCAGTGATTGTCGCCATTGCTGGAACGCTCTCCACGTCGGCATTTGTCTTTCCCGTTTTGAAAGAACGAGGATGGGAAGAAGAACCGTCGGGAGAAGCGGCAACGTCGGTACTGTTACTACAGGATCTCATGGTGGCCCCTCTATTGGTTTTGCTACCCTATCTCGTGGGACAAGATGCCACGGATTTCACGGCCATTGGGTTCCTCACTGCCAAGGCAGTCTTGGGATTCGGGGCGACACTCTACGTTGGTCGCTACGTTATTGCCAAACTCTTTGATTGGGTTTCCAAAGCCAACTCGGCAGAAACCTTTGTCGCACTGTGTCTGCTCGTGAGTGCTGGAATGGGAACTATTGCAAAATCATTGGGTTTAACCGACACAGCCGGAGCCTTTGCGGCGGGAGTTTTGCTGGCAAATACAGGTTTTCGAGCACAAATTCAAGCCGACATTCTACCCTTCAAGGGAATCCTCTTGGGAGTATTCTTCATGGATGCGGGATCTACATTCGACATAGAGTTGGCATTGGCCGCATGGCCCACCATCCTTGCAGGTGTTGTGACTTTGATTAGTCTCAAGGCTGCCACAATGGCATTGGCGACTCGTGTACCCGAATGGATGGAACCCAATCGATTGCCACGTGCCGAAGGTATCAAGTTGTCCATCTTACTGGCCGGTGGCGGAGAATTTGCCTTTGTCGTATTGGCTCTCGCAGAGAGACTCGGTGTAATCTCGCCCGATCTGTCGGGAGTCTTGACAGCTATTATTTTGATCACCATGGGGCTCACACCCTTGCTGGGTGACTTTGCTGCCACTGCAGCAGAACGAATATTATTGGAGGACGCAAACGAAAATGAAGATTGTGAATGCCGTCCATGGACTGAGACGGGTGTGGTACCCAGTCAACCAATCGTAGTCTGTGGGTATGGCGATGTGGGTCACGCAGTGTTGCACAGTCTGGCAGAAGCCAATGATGTTCTGATGCTTGCATCCAGTGGAAATGCTGAGGTAGCAAACGGAGAAGACAACACGTTGCCAACCTGCGAAACCCCCTTCATTGTGGCATTTGACAATGACCCCAAACTGCTTGAAAAGAGCGTCCTGGTGGAAGATGACACTGCAGTGCTCATGTTTGGTGATGGTTCGAACCCGGCCGTCATCGAGGCGAGTGGGATTGAACAACCACAAGCCATCTTTGTTTGCTACGATGAACACAACAATAATCTGGCGGCCACATCACGCCTCAGCAGAGGGTTTCCTTCCGCGCCGATCTATGTTCGAGCACAAACAAGGAAAGAAGCAGAATCGCTCAAGTTAGCGGGGGCAACGGAAGCTGTCGTAGAGTCGGATGAATTGGCACGTTCTGCGGTGGCGCTGATGCGTACATCCTACATCACCAATGTCCCTGTATTTGATAAGAGCTTGGGTCTGAAGAAGCAGCTCCGAAGGTTGGCGGCAGCAGAAGCAGGAATATCTGTCGATGACGTTGATTGCTTGCTCGAAACCTATGAGAGCTTGGACCAAGATGGGAACGGGGTGCAGGTGGATGAGGTCGTGGCGTTTCTTCGACGCACAAATACTGGTCTCCGCAATGATGAAGACACAAAACGAGTTGAAGCTTGGTTTGACGCATCCGGGCTCTCTGGGTCAATCAGCTCCCTGGAGTTTTTCCAGCTGTATGGGCGAGCACCCGATTACGTTCAGCAAGCATTTGCATGCGGAAAGGTTCAACAGAAGGTGCAATGATACCGGCAGCCCATGTCGAAAAGCTTGTACCACTAGCTAGCTACCACCAACTGTTTCCACAACTCTGTAACTTAAATTGGATTCATTTTCTAATGTAGAAACTCCGAATACGACGTCCAGTCATCGAGCACTGTCATCAACCGTATCCTTGATTGAAAACGATCCCCTCTTGACTTCATTCGCGGCTACCTCTTGTCTACATGTATGTGTGTAAGTCTCGAGAGCTGAGTCGAGTCTCACAGCCAGGACAAACAGCCAGGTACAACCACCGAACTGTTACTAGAGCCACCTTCCTTTCCCCTCTCCTGTTCCTCCTCCGCCCTCTTCATGGCGATGGCGCCCACAGGTAACAAAAATTTAATACCTGGCTTCCCACTAGACAACTGCTACTACTAGCTAGCTAGTAGTACAGTAGCTTGCCAGACCTGCATGTACCGGTACCGGTACCTGGTACTGTCGAGTACCAGATCCTGGTATTGCCTTTACGCTTTTGATAACGGCCAAGCGGGGTGGTTGATATGATGACGTGGCGTTCAAGTTTGGCTGCATGTTCTTTTGCCACCAACCCCTTTTCTCCCGTTGACTCATCACTCTCCTCGTTGACTCACCACAGAAGTCATCACATCACCCATCAAACAAACAAAGCTTCGAAACTAACCGAGCAGCTCAGAGCCAACGAAGGAATGGAATGTAGGTGGCGTTCTTAGTCAAAACATTCGAAGCTCATGCAGATCATCCACCAGTTCATTAGTGGGAAACCAAGAGATCAGTTGCCTGAAAGTAAACAGAACAATGAAGGAAGACCTATTAAGAAGTAAGATAAGACGACGAAATGAAGGGACACCAAGAGCAAGAAAGTCAATACTGGGTAGAGGCTACTGCAGCAGCTGGTCCCTGGTCCTGTTGGCCACGGCAGTATCCTCTACAGATTCTTTTGTGTCTGCCTTTTCTCCGTCCAAGTCTATTCCACGGCGGTTTGGAGTCTCACTGGAAGGCAGTGTGATTGCGGATTGGGAAGAATACGGGCAGTCCTGGTTGGAGTTTCCACCTCGTTGGGCCCCCTTTCCGATACGAAGGGGCCAAAGGAAAGCGGACGAACTGCCGAATCTTTTTGAGCAATTGGAAGACTTGAAACCTCAGGTTGTGTCTGCAGCATCGGCTCAGAAAGAGGACGTACGAGATGGCGATAGTCCTGTCAGATTGTTGCCTTTCCCATCCACTGGGGCGACATCAGCTTCAACTGCAAATATGCCAAGAAGTACGCTTGTATCGCAGTTTTTACCTCAACTTTCTGCGAGAGAGGCGGCACGGATCAACGACATGACTCTTGGTGCCATTGTCAGTCTGGGAGTGCTCTTTGTATTGGCATTTGAAGACGACTCTTCTCAGTTTCAATTTGTTGATACTGTGCAAGGGGCTGCCATGAATATTGTGGATTCTACGATTCCAGCCAACGCCTATGAAATTGTTTCCGTGGCACTTGGGGAAACATTAGCTGGGATCACGGGAGCCATTGCCAGTCTAGGTCTCAATATTCTGCTCATGTCCGGCACTCGCAGAATGATGGAACAAAACCAATCGTTCCAACGGATGCAAGCCATGATCAATGAGGCACTAGCCGAAAGTGACTACTTCTTGGCTCGAGCAACCATATTGCCGCTCTTGGAGGCAGTGGGGTTGTCCCCCAGCTTGGCCACCGTTTCCAGTAGTCTTGCAGCCTCGTTGCCCTACCAACTGGTGAAGTGGGGAAAGCAACAAAAGGAGGCTCGAAAAGAAAACGAAAATAGGATTCTCGAAAAGCTACTGGAACAACAAAAGGAGCTGCAAGCTAAAGAGGCCAATCAACAGATTCCAGTCGAATGGAAGAAGAATCTGGTAGACTTTATTATCAAGCCTTTGCGTCAGTTCAAGGCAACGGGATCCCCAGCTCAATCTACAGCAGCATTGACATCCTTTGAGGCAGCAGCCGCAGCCGCCATAGTGGATCCTTCCAAGCTGATACCCATCAAACATGATGATTCAACCGAAACCAAGGACATGCCTCTACGGGCTCCTACCATTGATGGAGTAGAAGTCTTTGCAGACACGTGTAAGTGGCTCTCATATTCATTGCTTATGAAGGACTTTTCCGGGACGCTGTCCGTGGGAGGCGAGTTCTTGGGGCCCGGATTGGAAAGTGGATTCTACGGACTCTTGGCTACCTTGACGAGTCAAATCTATGCCGATTTCCTCTACGTGACGGCACGAGCGGGACCTGTGGAACAACAAGAAAAGGCACGATCTCGTACCGCACCGGAATGGATATCGCTTTACGTGCGCAAATCCATCAGTGCGTTTACATTGTTTGGAGTGTACGCAACCGTTCAGTTGCCCGTGTTGATTGCGGTCAATGCCTTGCTCTCGGGAGGAATCGATTCTTGCGTTGGAAGTACCGATTTAGATCTGTGCATGGAAACCTACTACACACTAAATCCACCGAGTGCCGACATTGCCGCCGAACTACGGGCGCTTGTCACGACTTTGTACAGTTTTTGCAACTTGCCGACAACGGGTGACGTGGGAGGATTCGGCTTTTACTATGGTCCTTCAGCTGACGCTCAACTAAGGGCTATCATCACGACACTGGTTTCATTGTGGCATCGGCTCAGTGCCGTAAGCAATGTCGTGGCCGGTTGAGGGACATCATAGTCGCAAAGAGCTTGCTGTTCGAAGAAGGACGCAGACCTTGCGAAACCCACACAACGATCTTTTGGCCATCGCGGCTAATGTTTTCGGCTCAGCGCCATCTATATGGAAGCAAGCCATGGATGGCCGCAACCGCTCGTCACGAGGAGCGCTTCGTGGTGCTCGGCTTCAGTATTGGCAAGGATGAGAGTACGATACAACTTTTTGCATCCGGCTTTCTAGGACTATGAGTTCGAGGTATAACTAAAGGATAAAGCTGGACTGTCATACTATTGTTGGAATAGTGTAGGCTGGTAGAAACCTTACAGCCGATCGTGATATGACAGCAATGCCTTTAAAACCCAGACCAGCATGCAAATGGAGAGCCCAAGCAGGCTTTCAAGCTTACTAAGGACGACAGAGATTTATTTGTCGGTCGCCACAGCTTCGGCGGTTGGCCGACAGCAACGTTGCCTAGCTGGAAGCTGCAAATCGAATGATTCCAGATCCCGTAGTGTGGTTCAAAGAATGCTCGAAGCTGTTAGGGATATCAGTGGCTTTTCTCTTTGGTATACCGGTACCTGGCTTGGTGGTCTCGACTGAAGTTTCCCGTGGCGCCTTGGCAGCTTAAATCGGGGTTGCTGGAGCAGGTTGAATCGATGTTTCTCCGATGTGGCTCTCTGGAGTACACTTTTAATAAGAGAGTAGAAGAATCATTGCAACTACGGCAGTCTCCAAAAGGAAGGGTACACCAATCTCACTTTGTACTAATTTGATGATGATAACCTGATACCTAGCTAGACTTCCCGAGATTTGCTTTGCTTGTTGCTGCCTAGGCTAGTTGCCTCTCAAAACACGATACTTTACTGTCGAAAGGATGCAGTGTAAACCAATGTGATGGGCCGCGTTGTTTTCTTCTTGCCATCTTTGTTCTTGTTGTTGCCGTCTTTATCATCATCCGCATCTTCTGGGATTCCTTGCAACCGAATGGTGACTTGGGGCTGCTGCTTGACATCGGAATGAGGACTCCATTCTAGAATGGGCACCGGTCCCTTTTGTTTTGCTGTTGTTTGGTTGTTGCCGTCATTATCTTGTTGTGCTGCTGCTGTGCTGGACGAAATGAGTTCCATGGGATAGGCCATGCCTCGGTACATGGTAATGGTCCACTCCTTGCTGCTGCTGTTGTTGTTGGGTAGCGATCCCACAACAATTCCGAGCTTGTTGGTGATGCGTTCCATGACGGCTAGATAGAGCGCCAATCGATCGGCCCATTCTTGTGAAATGCCGTGTCGTCGCTGCTGAGAATGAGCAGATTCCAATGGCCACGTTTTGAATTTGGTAGTTTTTTGTCCATCGTGTCGTCGAATTTGAAAGGACACAGTATCTTGTGGTTGTTGGAGTGGTGGTTGTTCCGGCGGCTGATTTACTGTTGTCATGGGACTGGTCATTAAGGACGAAATGGAACATTCTGCGGGTTCTCGGTATTGTTTCAGAATGGCATCGGCCAACTGTATGTGATCCTGCAACAACTGGGGTGGCACACCGTGTCCAGCTAAACAAAAGGGATGACTGGTTCTTCCACCAATCATGTGACCCCGCAACATATCTAGGAGATCCTTCTTGCCTCGCAACAGGCGTTTGGCAGTATTCATGGAACTGGAATACTTATTGTTGTCATGGTTCGCCTCACTACCCATACTAGTATTGCTTTGAGTAGCATCATCTTTCTTGGGTACAATGGAAATTTGGCAATACGTGGAAGCATCCAAGAGCGCCGAGGCGTTGACCAGGGGCAATTTGCGGCGGCGACGGCGTTGTTGCTGAGTACCATGGTCACTCTGAGTGTTGCCCTTATTGTCTTTGTTGTTGTACTTATTATTGCCTCGTTGAAAGGGCATGGGACTTCCCGGTATCAGAATGGGCACTTGTGACGAGTCCCTGATCAAAGGGAGATTCCTAGTGTGGAAAGTGCTCTGTAGATTATTGAAATCAGACTCCGAACCAAACTTTGGGGTATACCGTGGCTGTGGCGCTTTGGGCCCAAAGCGACGTCTTGGTCGGCTCTCTTTCTGCTGATCTCCCTTTTGTTGGAAATCTTTCTTCTTTTGGTGGTGGTTTCCATGGGGTGTCGAAGTTTGTATACTTGTATGGGAGGGACTGCGTTTGTTCTTCTTGTGATTTTGATGGTGATTGTTGCTGTTGCTCTTGCCTTTATTCTTGCTGCCACCACTACCATTATCCGTGCCATTCATCATTGTCACTGGGACAGTGTGAACTGGGGGATCTCTTTCACTCAAGACACGATGCCAGGGTACAACGGCATGCTGCAGGGGTGACCATCCTCTGCCACCAGTACATGTAGAGCTGAGCCTGCCTGAGATCATCATAATCATATCAAATGTAGCACCAGGTACCAACAACTACAACTGCAATTAACACCATGCAATCTGAGGATCCGGAAGACGCTCAACAAACTGTTGGCCGTTAGTGTCGTTGTGGCTGATCAAAGATCAAAGATCTTGGATACCCTTGGTATGCATACGGTAAGGGTTGAGGCTTTTACTTTTCTTCCACGTCACCTCTCCACGTTGGTTCATTTGTTAGACGGCCACCACGCTTTGCACTTTATTTGGTCTCCCAGACCACGCTCCTTTAGGTTACCCCCTCAGTTGCACTCTGAAATCGATTGGCTCGCGTTTACTGTGTAAATTAGTGTACCCGCACTTCAGTTGCAGAATCAACGGTCATGTGTATCCTTAAGTAACAGGTTCTCTTTCGAAAGATTTAGATCGATTCGTGGATAAAAAGAACTGTTGGAGTTACTAAGGTTAAGGTTTATTTTGTTGAAGAGTACTGTCTGACCACGAGTATCAAGCTGACGTTCTCGGGTTCAGACGAGAAAGCCATCCCAATTGAAATCCTACCAAATCGGGAAGGTTTTCTTTTCTCGGCCCATGACAGTCAAGTTGGTGGAATTTGAAAAACAAGAGTAAGTCTCCGGTTTTCTTCAGTATCAGAATAGAAGAGAAAACCATATCTATTTCTTACTTTCTGTTCTCTTACTGTTGACGGCCGAGGAAATCTCATTGTCGAGTCCTTTTCGAACGATCGATCGCTCCGGATACCGGTAACAAGAAAGGAAGAGGCTACCAGTACGGAGGAGGAGGCTCTGTTAACTCCAGCCCTAGCAACAGCATGAACAAACGTCGTCGAGTCATTGAAAAGGCAACAAGAGGAGGAGGCTACTATGCGACAACACACAAGAGAGTGGATCCTCCTACAGGATTCACCCCTCCAGTGTTATTTCCTAGTGATTTGGTGGTGATTCCTGTGTCGGCACCCATTTCCTGCATGCACAAGTCCTCGAGCGATGTAACTAGACTAATAGAACACCGATTACCAACCAATAGACCATCCTTTCATTAGATAGTGTTCGGTACTGTTGACACTGTCGCCGATGTAACTGTACGGTAGCCGGCTACAATGGCTGGATTAACAATATTCGGTTTTGTGCATGTATTCGTCATAAGAATCCAATGCGAGGTAACCGAGTGCAGCGAGAAATGTCGAACCTGAGTGTGTTCGGTACTGTTTGCCACTGTCACTGATCGATGAACTCTACTGTAGCTGGCTACGATGGCTGGATTGACAATGTTCGGTTGTGCATGTATTCGTCAAAAGGATCCAATGTAAGGTACCGGTAACCGAGTGTAGCCAGTAAAGCGGAACCTGAGTGTGTTCGGTACTGTTACCACTGTCACCGATCGATGAACTCTACGGTAACTGGCTACAATGGCTGGATTGACAATATTCAGTTGTGCATGTATTCGTCATAAGGATCCAATGCGAGGTACCTGTAACCGTAGCGAGCAAAGCCGAACTTTCCGTACTATTGCCAGTGTCGTCGATGTAGCTATACCGCAGCCGGCTACAATGGGTGGATTCATAATGTTCGGTTGTGCATGTATTCATCATAAGGATCCAATGCAAGATACCGGGCAACGGAGTGTAGCCAGCAAAGCGGAACCTGAGTGTGTTCGGTACTGTTGACACTGTCGCTGATGTAACTGTACGGTAGCTGGCTACAATGGCTGGATTAACAATATTCGGTTTTGTGCATGTATTCGTCATAAGGATCCAATGCGAGTAACCGAGTGCAGCGAGCAAAGCGGAACTGAGTGTGTTCGGTACTGTTGCCACTGTCACTGATCAATGAACTCTACGGTAGCTGGCTATGATGGCTGGATTGACAATGTTCGTTGTGCATGTATTCGTCATAAGGATCCAATGCAAGGTACCGGTATCGGAGTGTAGCCAGTAAAGCGAACCTGAGTGTGTTCGGTACTGTTGCCACTGTCACTGATCGATGAACTCTACGGTAGCTGGCTACGATGGCTGGATTGACAATGTTCGGTTGTGCATGTATTCGTCTAAGGACAATGCAAGGTACCGGTATCGGAGTGTAGCCAGTAAAGCGGAACCTGAGTGTGTTCGGTACTGTTGCCACTGTCACTGATCGATGAACTCTACGGTAACTGGCTACAATGGCTGGAATTGACAATATTTCGGTTGTGCATGGATTCGTCATAAGGATCCAAGTAGCGAGCAAACTGAGGAAACAGGAGACCAACGCTGAAAAAAAGCCGAATTGATATGAGAAACGAAGCCCTGGGCCATCCACCTGCCCCAAAAGCTTGCATCATGGGTCAAGCATGATCAACAACATCCATTATTGGTTGCAGCTTTTCCTCGCCAAATTGATCCATGCCTATTAGAGGCGACAAAAGTCATACAATTTAGGCGACACAAGTGTAACACAGTCCTTGTCATCAAGAGAAACCTCAGACCAAAAAAACCTTGTCATCCTCTGCCTTCACTTGGCATCGTGCCCAAGTTTGGTTAGGCAGCCTTTCAGTTGCCATGATCTTCTGTTTGCAAGTATCCAAACTACAGTATCTACTGGTATGGCAAAAAAAAAGATCTATCGAAGTTCTTACTTGATCGTACTTCGTGGCGGAAGCTTGGTCACTTTCCCCGTTGCCACAGTCTTTCCTTCTATTGTTCGCAGTGCAAATCTACCCAAGAAAGGGAACTCCGTGTACAACTTCACTGATGTTACCTGTGCCACTTCCAGCATCACAACAGCATGCATGCCAACACGAGCAAATGGTGCGTTCTTGACGACTTCTCGTTTGTCATTGGCGGTGTCTCAAAGATGTTGGACACGGTGCATTCTTCTGCGCAATTGTGTGCATGGTACACGCACTGGAAACCAGCCGTCATGATCTGATTATTGTGGGCCATATCATCAGCACCGCCGATGACATCAGTAATGTCGATATGGCAAATAAACTTCTTGGCCGCCCTGCACGGCGGACTCGAGCAAATGACGAATCCCTTGCGAACATCTTCGATGTTGGCACCGTTCAATTTGATCAAGACGTTTTCACCGGGCCGAGCGCCAGCAACAGGATTTTCATTGATCCTGGCTTCATCGACCTTGCATTCCTTGCGTGTTGGCATGACAGTGACTCTCATGCCAGGACTGATAATTCCAGACTCGACTTTGCCCATGATGACAATGGTACCTTGGTTAGTGTACCGACCAGAGACTGGAATTCGGAGGGGCGCCGCTGGATCGCGCCCTTCCATTTCAAGGGAATCCAACAAACTAATCAGCGTCGGAGCCGTCGTGTTGTTTCTACCGGATGCGTAACAACCCCCCCACCAGGAGCACTCGCCTGCGTTGACTTCTGTCACGATGTTCGCGCCACTCAAACCCGAAATCGGAATGAATTTGACTTGTCGTTTAATGACAAACCCACAGGATTTCAAAAAGGGTCGAATCTTTGGTCACAAACTCGTCAAATCGAACTTTACTCCATTGGACGGTTGGTTCATCCATTTTGTTCACCGCGACAATGAGATGCGACACTCCCAGTGTTTTTGCCAAAGCGCGTGGTCTCGAGTTCGTCCACCGAGATCAAACCCCGTTTCGAATTCACCCCTCCGTGCGGAAATCACCAATACGCCGACATCCGCCTGACTCGACTCGCTCCCTGAATCATGTTGGGGACATATGTCGCGTGTCCTGGTGCGTCCAAAATGGTGTACCGTTTGGACGCTGTCTCAAAGTGAGCGCTACCGACTTCAACGGTTGTTCCGGTGTGGCGTTCTTCCTCGTTTGTGTCCATAATGTAGGTCAGGGACGCAGATCCCCGGTTGCGTGCCCTCGCTTCTCTCTCGTGTCCTGCGCTGGTGCGTTGATTGACATTCCCTGTGAGGCATCGACGTGGCCGATAAAGACAACACTCATGTGCTCGCGAGGATCTCCCTCTTGGAGTTGTTGTTGTTCTTCTTTTTCTTCACTGTTGTTCATTTTGGCAGTGGTGGTGGTGGTGGTTGCGAGTTGCGAGTGATTTTTGTCAATTGTTAACTGCCAATTCACTCGACAAGAAGTCAATAAGTTTAATATTATGCCAGCCTCTCTTCCTCCCCGGCTCAAGTTTGCCATCAACTTGAAACGTGGTTTTGGATGATCATGCCGCGTTTGGTATCTTGTGAAAGGATCGAGCATGACGGACGGTGGATGGATGCACGTCAGAACTCTAGATTCCAGGATCCTCAGCCTTTCCATTGGTGATAATGTTGTTTGAAGAAAGAGCCACAGCTGCAACTACAATAGCACAATGCACAATGGACAGCATCAGACCCTTTGGAGGATCAAGAAGACGCTGAGCCTGTGCTGTTTGCCGTTGTGGCTGATGCCAAAGATATTCATACCGACAGTGCGGTACAGTAGGGTTTCTTCCACGTCACCTTTCCACGTTCTTTCATTTTTGCTCGACAGAGATATTGAGACACGAAGGGCCTCTGATAAAAACCTGGGCCATCCACTTCCCGCAAAAGCTTTGCATCATGGGTCATGCATGATCAACAGCATATCCATCATTGGTTTCAGCATGAGAAAACGTTTCCTCGTCAATGATATTCATTCGCGGTTTGGCAACACCCAAATCTGACAATCTCAGGCCAACTATCTATCAACAATCACATTAATACATTTTTCCCTATACATTGTATTCCAGATTCAACTCCTCCAAGTATCAGGTCTATTAGAGAGAAGAGACAAGGAATCCAGTTCCTAGCTAGCTAGCCAGCTATCATAGCTACCAGTAGGAGGTTTGATCGGACAAGAAAATGGGAAAGTTACTATGGGTTAGAGAGAGCTAGGATGGGGATGGGGACAGAGAGGGGAGGGCACGATGCAGGAACGCAAGGCAAGCAATCAAGTGCGCAAGCAGGGCAACATGGAAACCAAGGAGGGGGGGGGGGAGGCAGGAGGGCAGGGAGGAGCAAAGGAGCAAGACTAGCGGAAGAGATCGAGGGCACCATGGTCATCCCAACGCTTGGAAACCTTGAGAGCTGGGACACGGGAGCCTCTTAGACACAGATTCACGGCGCGGGCGAGAGCTATGCTCATCCTGGCCGAGATGAAAGAGTGAACCACAGAGTAGGGCTTGGACCACTTGTGAGCCAAAAGCTGGGAGAGCCGTTGGAGAACAGCAGTAGCTTGGGCAGCAAAGAGGCCATGATCTGACGCATTTTGCAAATGGGAACCCAAAAAGAGAACTCTAACTCTAGCCCTTGTGTGGCGGCACACAGCTCCCCCCTGCTCGGACCAATGCTGCCCCGTGCTGCCATGCTTCCGGACTGGTAAAGGTACCGTACAAGTGCTCATTTTATTAAAAAAGGATTCAAAGAAGAAAGTCAAAAGAAGTGAGAGGCTTTGACGACCCCTTTTATTGCAGAGACAGTCACCTGTAGCCACCATGTCCTCCACCAGAGACAACGCGAAACGCATCGCTGCCAGTAAGACATAGTACACTGCGAGAGGAGAGCCGATTCGTAACCTCCAATCCTATGTGGCCGCCGGTGGAAAACCGAGGAACTCAGGCGGGGATGTGATCCGCAATCCCACAGCCTACCAGAATGCCATTGAAGCTTCGGTCCGCCAGAACACGGATGATCCCAAGTACTTGTACCATTACACAACTCCCCAGGCTGCAGAAAGCATTGCAAAGAATGGAAAGATCCAAGCCAGTTCCACCGGTTTGGCTGGTTCGGGGACCTACCTCACCGCAAAGCCTCCGCGCTGCCCTGTCACTCCGATACTCTTTTGGAAAACAATTACGCTTCCGTGGCCCGTGGATCATCCATCCTACGTGGACAATTATGTTCGTGTAGATGCCGACGACCTCTATGCTCGTCATGTTGGCGGAGACCGAGATGTTTGGAAAGTGGATGGAGATGTAGACTTTTACTCTCACAATGGATTTGTTGCGGAGCGCAATCAGCACCAGTGTGATACCGCAGGACATTCAAACCACCCAGTGGGTGGATGGTACAACGAATACTACGATGAGCGTAATCAGCACCAATACAGCGCCCATAACGAAGCTGAAGGATACCCGAACCACTACGAAGGTGGAGGGTACAGCGAATACTATGAGGAAGAACAAGATGACGACTATTGGTAGCGGTTTAACCCCGTAGAGAAAGGTGAGCAGCTAGGACAGAAGTACTATCATACGCGTAGCCATAGACCAATGATAAGATGATAAGTCCCCATTATTTTTATTACTGGAATGCAGTTGCCCCCACTTGCTTCCTACAGTGTACACGAGTTGTATGATAGTTTGGGTGGTATCTTATTAAAAAATAGTGTGCCGTACCACTCACCGCAAGGAGTGGGAGTCGAATTCTTTAGAAGTTCGTAGTTAACAAAAGGCTTACAGTAGCATTCGTGTAAAGTCTCACAGAATCTTCCTGTTCGTGCACCCGCACTTGCGTCTGGCTGGCTCAAGGCTTCGCTAAAAGGCGTTCGGGATCTTCTCACAATTCCAAACTTCATCGCACCTCACATCAGCAGAGGTGAAGCAGTAATAATATAATCAAACCTCACGAAATCGTCATTCAAGAAATCGAACCGACAGAAGACAGTATTACCAGCTCTGTTGTTGTTGTGGTTAAAGTTGCGTTCAGAAGAGACCAAGAAGAAAGAGATTAGACGTAGCAGATTGATCCATTCATTCATCGATCGACATGAAGGATTCTTCTACCAAAGAAGAAGACCATGCATCTGTAGAGGTGGAGGAAGGAATCGCCAATGTCGTCCCCAACGATGACGCCAAGTCAGAGACATCGGAAGAGACTGTTCCCTCGGTAGAGTCGGGAAGCAACAGCAGTGTCAGCAAGGCAGCAGCAGAATCCTCCACAGAATCTCGTCGTCGCCGCCGTCGTCGTCGCTACGCGTACGCTGCAGCGATTGGGCTGATGGTCATCGTAGCGGCGATCATTGTGGGAGTTGTGGTGGGTACCTGTAATAAGGAGGCCGATCACCAGACTGCAGCTTCTTCGTCTTCGTCGTCCAACAACAATAAGAATGATAAGGATGTTCCGGAACAAGAACAAGAACAAGAACAAGACAACACTGTGGAAGAGATTGTAGTTGTGGACGTTGTGGATCCTGAGATTCTCGATATGGTGGACGAAATTGCCGATCCTGATGTCAGCCTGGACTTGGGCAATGGCGAGAACTTTCCAAATCCCTTTGGCAAGATCCAGCTTCCTCCTCTCATGACCAAGGAAATCTTGCAGCCCTACAACACCAAGGAAGAATTTCAGGCAGATTTGACCTTGGCCGCAGAAAACACGGTCAACCGTGTCATTCGCCACAACCTAATGAGGCATGCACACAACCATCATCAGTTAGATCAACAACCCTCGGAACAGGCTGCCGTCGACGCTGCCATGGGAGTCGCTTCGGCGGCTGCCAAACAAGCTTCCGCGGCCAAGATTAAGAAAACTAGTTTGACCAACAATCAAGAACACGATGCGGATGAAGCCGATCTACTCAAGAACGATGAAACCTACGTCTACGCCGCCTTTGGAGATTACCTAGTTGTGTGGGATCGTCGACAAGGAACCATCATTGCGCAGGAGAAAATGCCAGACCCCAAGACAGCTGACAAGAATGCAGAGGAAGGCATTGACGACAACAACGCAGATCACGATGACTGGTACTTTTTCTTCCCGGGCGGTGGATCGTTTCTCTACATTGAAAGTATTCAGCTCACAGAGTCACATGTATTGGTGGCTGTGGGAGGAATGGACAATTACAATGACTACAATCTCGGATACGGGGAGAAGGGAACCCATCTGAGAGTCTACACCAAGCCCACGTCTACCAATCCTGCGTTGACCCTTGTGGCAACCAAGGATATCCACGGATACTTTTCCGAAGCTCGGTACCTCGAACAAACCAACAGTGTCCATATTTGCACGGGTGGCGACTTCAACACCTACAGCCTCCTGGTAGAACCCTTTGATCTGTATCATTTCCAGTTCATGAACAAGACACAGTACTACCATGCCGCCAGTCGCAAGGCTCGCGAGGAACTCATCCCCAAGTTTGTACAAGAGGTCTCCAACTTTTTCCTGGAAGCCAACAATGGACAATTCCCTCGGACCATGAAGATTAATAGCTGGGCGACAACTGCTGGAGACGACCCAGCTGCAGGAGCACCCGAGGATGTTGATCTATCCATGCCTATCGATTATGGCGTCATGGACGATGCCTACCGTGCGTTTCTGCAGGTGACATCCATCAAGGTGGATGCATTGCCAACCGCTCCTCTCACCGACACCACCACAGATCTGCTCTCCACATCGGCCGCCACCGTCATTGGTCCCTCTGCCAACAGCAAACTCTACGCCACCCAAGATTCCCTCGTTCTCAACATTGACCAGTACCATTGGAACAGTCCCGACGAACAAAGCACGGAAACACTTCATCTCATTCACATGAAGGTGAATGCCAACGATGCCACGACAACCTTTTACGGAGCGGCATCGCTACCCGGATCGTTGCCCAACAAGTATGCGATCGATATCGAGGGCACTGACCTTCGCGTCGCCACGACACAGCAACACTGGTTCCCGCTCGATCAAACCTGGGACGTCTGTGGCGATAGCTGGCAGTTTGACGACCAATGCATGAACGAGGTCAATTGGAACACGTGTTTCGACACGGCCCTCAACTGTCGCAATGTTGTCAAGACGGGATGTCCCTACACATTTACGTGCCAAGACAGTGGCAGTGAGCCCGAATCATCCACCGACAACCTTGTAACCGTCTTGGATATCAGTCAGGAGGGAATCATGACGGAAATTGGTCACGTCGAGATTGGTGAACCACACGAAGTCATTACCGCCGTTCACTTTGGAGAAGCCTTTAGCTACGCCATGACTTTTGATCAGCGCGATCCATTCTATGTCTTGAACTTGCCGGCTGGACAGGCACCGACGATTACGGGCGTATTGAAACCCGACGATGGCTTTTCTTCCTACTTGCAGCCTCTCAACGATGATGCGACCATGTTGGTTGGTATTGGGCAAAATGTGACTGGAACAGGAAGGGAACAACGATCGACTGGACTTTTGATCACCGTCTTTGACGTTTCCGACATGGCCGCACCTGTAGTGTTGGCCACCAAGATGCTGGATTCTTCCTTGGATGGTAGTTCCTTTTCGGATGCAGAATTTGACAACCGAGCCGTCCAGTACAGCAACGGACGTCTTGTGATTCCCATGACTGTGCTGCACACATTTGACGCGTCTGCCATGATGGTGGGAGACGAGGTCCCCCTCGATGCAACGTTCCCCCCAGAGCCCACATTTGACGAGAGCAAGAACTTTGAAGGTTTCATTGTATTGGACGTTGGGAATGCAGCTACGACGGGAATCCAGGAGATTTTGCGCATCAACCACGCCAGTCCAAGCGGACGCAACTGTCACTATTGCGGTGGATTCAACAATCTCCGCCGCAGTTTCCTGTACGAAGATGATGACATCCTCATGACTGTTTACGACAACCTGGTCATCAGTACCGATATTGGAACTGGCACACCCAAATGGGCATTCAATGTGACCATCGAAGGAGAAGACAATAGCTGCTGCTACTAATGAAAGGAATCCACTCGACACTCGAAACACGAAACACGAAAAGGAAACATCGCAAACGCTCTCAAACGAAATGATGTATGTTGTTTATTCAGTCGAAGCAAACCCGAAGGTTTGCATCGCAGTTTTTCCCATTCATTCGAACTCACACACAGCAAACAACGAAGTCAGTCCAAATGGCGCGGATTTGTGACGCTTTCGATACACAATGCATATAACAGTACGCAATTGAGCTTAATTTATAATGGTAATGAAGATACTACTAACCAATCGTGGGGCACCCGGTTAATAAAAAGATAGCTCTGTCATGTTATAAATCTGTGCGTAGGTGGCCGAATGTCAATATCGTTTTGGGGGCTTCTTGCAAGCCTTTCCGTCCTCTGAATGCGGCACTTATCATACTTGACCTCATCATTTGCCAGAGTAGGCCCACTTCATTACCACAACTTTAGAAGGCTACAAGGACAGGAACCCTGGCACCACCATGAATGCAACAACGGAGAGAGGGTTCAGGACCAAATGACAAAAACCCAATCATGAACTATTGGCACAGCCCAGCGCAGATCACCAGCACGATTGTCACTTCCATGGTCCAGCGTCCTCTACAAGCGCAGCAAGGCAAGGGGCTAGGATCGAGACAACAGCATACACTCATAGATGGAATGGACCCACACCAGAGCCTCGAAGTTAGAATCCTATCGGTATGGCGGAGCAACCCAATCAGCACTGTTATTAAGACCTTCGGGACACGACACTGCGGTGTATGCAGTAGGCATCGAAATCCTGAAAGATCAAAGTCTTGTCAACACGGGGAAGTAGCTGGGAGAGAAGGAAGAATGCTTATAATGGGCGTGATAAGCTCATCACAAATCCAATGCATCGGGTCTCACTCCAACTTGATTGTACAGAAATCAGAATTGGAATCAAACTCAAACACGGCCTTTTGTTGCTTGCTTTGCTGCCCCCCTTCACCCGCAGCAACGGAATGCCGCATTACCGCAGCTTTGCAGCGCCCTTGATCTCACGGAACCCGACTTTCCGCCTTTTCTTTTCCTAAGCCTCGCCCCCTGCCGGCTTTCATAAGCTGCAGCCGTGCTGTCACCGGTGCAGTAGCTGCGGAAGTGCTGCGACCTTGCTTGCTTGTCTGGCCTCATACAAATAGCAACGAGCAGCAAGAAGTCGCTCATGTTGATGCGAGCAGGGGCGCGAAGCCGAGGTGCAGGCAACGCACCCGGTACCGGTACCATCATGGATGAGGCTGATCCATTCTTGCTTGTCCTTGCGTCGGTTGGCATCGAATGAAACATTCATGTTCATCTCCTAACCGGGCGTGGAATATCCTAGTCTCTCTTCCTAGCCAGAACTCTCTCTCTCTCTCGCCAACTCTCTGAGTTCCGGTTTCGTTCTGTCTCGCCATCGCAGGAGTGATACTTCGTCTTCCCTGTGCTTTGCAATGTCAATCCGACGAAGGACGACAGAAGCACGGATGCCAGTTTTAATAAGCACGGATGCCACCTACGAGATGTAACCATATCCGCGAAGAAGGATGCTACCGTACCGGTACCGGCACCGGTACGAGTAGCAATGATAATGTGAGATCGAAGTAGCTAGAACTCTTACGATAGACTAGTTGATAGATGCAAACATGATCAGCTTCTGCAGTGCCAGTGGCATAGAGGCGAGAGTTGAAGATTCCATTCAATTTGGATAGAGCCGAGAGTTGAAGATTCCATTCGATTTGATTCAAGCGGTTCGAAGGGAGGATCGAGTTCCGATTATGTCCTGCAGTCTCAAGGAGCCGCTTCTGCTGTCTGCTCCATTGTAGATTCCAGAGTAGGTGCGGTGGTTTGCTCGGATGGGCGCGATGGCTCCACCGTTGGCTCCACCGTCGGCTCCGGGGTCGGTTCCCTGGTCGGTTGCAGTGTTGGCACTCCAGTCTGTTCCAGTCCTTGCGACGTTGTACCAGAACGGCTGTTGGAAGAGGAGCCACGAAGTGGAGCAAAGATAGAGACGAATCCAGGTAAGTTTGCAGTGCCCTTCGGTGGTAACATTGGAGTCTCCACACTTTCATTTGGTATCGACTCAGCAGAAACATTGACCAAATGCGCTTGATCGATCGACGAATTGTAACCAGTGTACAGTGTCGTTGTGTTGGCGAGATCATCAATGTCGAGACTGAAATCGCTCAGCCTGGTGCCTGAAGCATCTCCAACTTCAAGGAGAACGGCTCCACTGGTCACAATTGGTCCCTGTACTTCATATGCATCGAAAAAGGCACCATCATCACCACCACTACCCCCGTACAAGCTAAAGGACTCGATCGGATGAACTGCAGGTTCCACCAATGCGTCAATTTCAAAGGTTATTGTTTCCGTAACTAGATCCGTTTCACGTGCGGAGATTGAGACCCCAACCACGATTGGGTCGCACTCGTCCTTGCTGAGGGAGTCATCAGCACTGGAGAACGCATCGATCAGATTTTCATCTGTAATGGATTCTGAACCTATAAGCTCCACATAATAAAGCGTTGTTGCTAGTGTATCAGGATCGCATGTTGGTGCCTGTGTGGGCTGCTCTGTAGGCGGCTGTGTGGGTTGCGGAGTGGGTGGATTGGTTGGCGTTTCTGTGGGAGGCTCAGTTGGTTGTGGAGTAGGCGGATTTGAAGGCGCATCATTTGGTGCTGCCGTAGGTGGTTCAGTGGGCTGTAAGGTGGGTGGGTTTGTTGGTGCACTTGTTGGTGGTTCAGTGGGTGGGTTTGTTGGTGGGTTTGTTGGCTCGAAAGTTGGCTCGAAGGTTGGCTCAAAGGTCTCTAATGTTGGCTCGAAGGTTGGCTCAATGGGCTCCAAAGTTGGCTCAAAGGTTGGCTCAATGGGCTCCAAAGTTGGCTCAAAGGTAGGTTGACCTGTGGGAGAAATGGTGGTGGTTGTGTTGGGGGCTCAGAAGGAGATTGATTAGGCACTTGTGTTTGTTGTTCAGTGGGTGGGTTGGTTGGCGGGTTTGTTGCAGGCTCCGTTGGCTCAAAGGTTGGCTCAACGGGCTCCAATGTTGGCTCAACGGGCTCAAACGTTGGCTCAACTGGCTCCAATGTTGGCTGAACGGGCTCCAAGGTTGGCTCAAAGGTAGGTTGATCTTCCTGGGGATCAATGGTAGGTTCATCTGTGGGAGGCATTGTTGGTGATTCAGTTGGTTGATCTTCCTGTGGCTCAAGCGTTGGTAGATCCTCCTGCGGCTCCAAGGTTGTTGATCCTCCTGCGGCTCAACGGTTGGTTGTTCTTCCTGTGGCTCCATGGTTGGTGGATCCTCCTGCGGCTCAACCGGTGGTTGATCTTCCTGAGGCTCCAAGGTTGGTTGGTCCTCCTGTGGCTCAACGGTTGGTTGTTCTTGCTGGGGATCAACAGTTGGTTGATCCTCCTGCGGCTCCAAAGTTGGTTGTTCTTCCTGTGGCTCCAAGGTTGGTTGTTCTTCCTGTGGCTCCAAGGTTGGTTGTTCTTCCTGTGGCTCCAAGGTTGGTTGTTCTTCCTGTGGCTCCAAGTTGGTTGTTCTTCCTGTGGCTCCAAGTTGGTTGTTCTTCCTGCGGCTCAACGTGGTTGTTCTTCCTGCGGCTCCAAGTTGTTGTTCTTCCTGCGGCTCCAAGTTGGTTGATCCTCCTGCGGCTCAAGCGTCGGTTGATCCTCCTGCGGCTCCAAGTTGGTTGTTCTTCCTGTGGCTCCAAGGTTGGTTGTTCTTCTGTGGCTCCAATTGGTTGCTCTTCCTGTGGCTCCAAGTTGGTTGATCCTCCTGCGGCTCAAGCGTCGGTTGTTCTTCCTGCGGCTCCAAGGTTGGTTGTTCTTCCTGTGGCTCCAAGGTTGGTTGCTCTTCCTGTGGCTCCAAGGTTGGTTGATCCTCCTGTGGCTCCAAGGTGGGTTGCTCTTCCTGCGGCTCCAAGGTTGGTTGTTCTTCCTGCGGCTCCAAGGTTGGTTGATCCTCCTGCGGCTCAAGCGTTGGTTGATCTTCCTGAGGCTCCAAGGTTGGTTGTTCTTCCTGTGGCTCCAAGGTTGGTTGTTCTTCCTGTGGCTCCAAGGTTGGTTGTTCTTCCTGTGGCTCCAAGGTTGGTTGTTCTTCCTGCGGGCTCCAAGGTTGGTTGATCCTCCTGCGGCTCAAGCGTTGGTTGATCTTCCTGAGGCTCCAAGGTTGGTTGTTCTTCTTGTGGCTCAACGGTTGGTTGTTCTCCCTGAGGATCCAAGGTTGGTTGATCTTCCTGCGGCTCCAAGGTCGGTTGATCCATTGGCTCGATTGTTGGTGTTTCGATTGGCTCAAAGGTAGGTTGATTATCCGGAAAATCAGAAGGAGGGTCAACTGGTGGTAGTGTCTGTGGATCAACAGTACCAGCATCCAAAACTGTTACACCACTGTCCACAATGATTTCATTGTCAGTGAAAGCCTCTGTGAAGCTGATGTCACCTGTATTCCCACCATACAAGCTGAAGTCCTGTATTGGGTACATATTAGGCTCTACCAATGCTTCGACTTCGAATGTAATTACTTCAGTGAGTTGCAGCTGCCTTTCTGTTGTTGAATGCAGTTCTCTTCTTTCCTGTACCCTTTCGGACACGAGTACGCTCAGAATAAGAGGAGCACAACTGTCTTTCTCCAGTGCAAGGTCTGCTCCCATAAATGCATCAATTAGCTGATCGCTGGAGAGTTCTTCAGCATTTTCAAGGGTCATACTATAGTGGGTGATTCCTGATGTATCAGGCTCACACTCAAAACTTGTGGGCAAATCAGTTTCACCAGCTGGGGTGGGGAACCCTAATAAGTCACCATTAGAAGGATCCATGGTTGGGGTATCAATTTCTGTGGTGCTGGGTGATAAAGTGGGAATCCCAAAAAAGTCACCATTAGAAGGCTCCATGGTTGGGGTATCAATTTCTGCGATGCTGGGTGATAAAGTGGTGGGCGCTGCAGAAGGGCTTCCAGGGGTTACAGTGGGTGTTCCGGTTGTGGTAGTGGGAGTCCCCGTGGGGCTTCGAGTGGTGGGGCTTGCACTTGGGGATCCTGGTGTCACAGTGGGGCCTAAAGTCGTGGGGTCAAGGCTCGGCGCATCTGTATCTGGAAATAGTGATCCTGCCTGGGTTGGCTCTCCAGTTTCCACACCATCCTCTGCCTGGGTTGGCTCCAATGTTGGCTCTCCAAATTCCCCACCATCCTCTGCCTGGGTTGGCTCCATTGTTGGCTCCGTTGTTGGCTCCATTGTTGGCTCCAATGTTGGCTCCATTGTCGGCTCTCCGGTTTCCCCGCCATCCTCTGGCTGCGCCGATGTGGGGAGTGGGGTTTCCTGCGGCTGAGCTGAAGTGGGGTTGGGGGTCTCATCCACTTGAACTGACGGCCTTGGGGTATTGCTTTCCTCAGGACCCATCATCACTTCCACTCCAACTGATCCAGAATTTCCAATACTCGGAGATGTCAAAGTTGGGGTGGTGATAGTTGGTGCTGGAGCCACAGAGGGGGGCAGAGCAACGGGTCCTTGGGTGCCAGGACGTGCGGTTGTAGGGCTCGTGGGAGAGGCATCGGCACTGGTGCCGGGAAGTATCGAAGTGGGGCTGCTGCCACTGGTACTTGGACGGATCATCGTGGGGCTGTTGCCACTAGGTGATGCTGGCGTCACAGAGGGGGGCAGAGCAACAGGTTCTTGCGTGCCAGGACGTGCGGTTGTAGGGCTCGTGGGAGAGGCAGCGGCACTGGTGCCTGGACGTACCGAAGTGGGGCTACTGCCACTGGTATTGGGACCCATCGAAGTGGGGCTGCTGCCACCAGGTGATGCTGGCGTCACCGGGGGCTGTCCTTCGCCAACTTGTTCAGGGGCGCCACCTTGATTAGACACAGGTGCACCGCCTTGATTAGACACAGGAGCGCCACCTTGATTTGACACAGGAATATCTTCATTGCCTGACCCTTGCTCTTCTTCTAAAACTGAGCTGGGAATTCCATCTTCGTTGCCACCACCAGTACCAGCCTGTACACCTCCCCCCGGGGTGACATCCACCTGCTCTTGGCCTTGTCCATTTTGCATTCCCTGGTCAGGAACTGGTTCGTCACCATCCTGCTCCTCTTCGTTGTTTACTCCCTGCAAAGAGTCCAGTTGCTCATCCTCTCCCTCTTCATCCTCTCCATCATCCCAACCAGGTGGGAGTGCTTGTGCAGCTGCGCCTGCATAGTTTGGAATCTCTCTGGTGGTAGGAGAAAATGTGGGCTCATTGGTAGGGTTGGGTGTAGGTCGAAATGTTGGTTCACTGGTTGGACTGTGCGTGGGTTCTCTGGTTGGCTCTCCAGTTGGCTCATCAGTCGGTTCTCGTGTTGGTGACTTTGTGGGTGGTGTTGTGGGAAGGGGAGTTGGTGCCGCCGATGGAGGAAGGTTGTCCAGAGTCCGACTTAAAGCCTCCTGGCACTCCCTGTCGGCATTTCCACCAGCAGCATTACGAGCGCATTCAGCAAGCTCTTCTCCCTGAAGATTGGCATTTCTTGTTATTGTTCTGCAGAATTCAGAGTCACCCACTAATTCGTTGGTAGTGGCATCAAAGCAGGATTGAATAGAATCAAGATTCTGTTGAGCTGTTGAAGTGACAACTGTTCCATTGTTCTGATCCACCACATTTCTAGCTGCCAAGATTTCTTCTTCGTCCAATGTTTGAATGGTTGTTCTTCTGGTTGTATTGGTGGCTGCTTGTTGTTGTCCCTCCACAACTGGCGCACGACACTCAACTGTACTGGCCTCAACAACATGAATACCTGCATCCGTTCGATTTTGAAAAGCCAGAGCAGTATCATTACCATAGACAACTGTATTGTTGAACAAGAAGGTGACGCCGTTGACATAGCGATCCACAGTAAAGCCAAAAGATGCCACAAAGAGGCTGAAGAAATTGGAGAAATCAAAGTCATCCTTCCGGGAATCGTTGCGTTGTTGTAGTTGCAGAATGTTGTAGTCATCTGGGACAGAGAAGAGAGGTTCCTGATCAGGACACCCAGTACAATCCACAGTGGTCTCCCAGTACATGGTGGTGATGCTGTTGGCCACTGCCCAGTCATAGTCTGCATGTGCCTTGTCTTGACTGATGCTCCCATAGTCTCCCCAGTCCGTCTCCCATTCCACAAGCCTGGCCTCATGGATCACTCGATCATAGGTGTCCAGACACATGCCGGTGATAGTATTGTAGACATCTCGAAAGGTATGTTGAAAATATTCCATGTTGTCTTCCTCTGTGGATTCAAAAATATCGGCTGGCAACCCTCTCAACTGCAACTCAACACATCCTTGTTTGGATTCAGATGCAAGAGAGCAAACTGGAGGAACGAATTGATCTCCAAAGTTATATACTTGGACATTCTGGTTGTGTGAGGAGACTACTGCTGCAGTGGTAGAGACAGCTGCCACCGTGGCCACACTAACCGCTATGGCCAGTTGCGAGGTGGCAGTGGATGTTGCTGTAGCTGTGGCCGTGGCAGACATGGCTGCCGAAGCGGCAGTTCCAGCTCCAGCTGCTCCTGTGGTTGGTTAGATAAGGGCAAAGAGTGAGGTTGGAAATGTGTCATGATGATGAACTTTGTGATGTTGGAACACCAGTAGTACTCACCAGCTGCTGCAGCTCCTGTGGCTGCTGCTGTTGTGGTGGCAGCCGCAGTGGCCCCAGCGGCTCCTTGGGCCGATACTACCGCCATTTGTGCCTACCAAGCAAGCAAAGAAGAGAGTGAGATTGGATGTATGATGGTGATAATGGAAGAGGCATACAAAGCTGTGCAAGGTACGTACCACAACAGCTGCTTTGGCTACTCCAGTGGCGGTTGCTGTAGCTGTACCTGTAGCTGCTGCTCCTGTGGCAGTGGCAGTCCCTGTAGCTGCTGCAGCAGTACCCGTGGAGGCGGCTGCAGTGGTACCAGTAGTGGTTGCTACGATAATGATGGCAGGCGGGAAGAAGAACTGTGAGGAGAACACAGTGCTGTGTCTCGGTGGTACTACCCGAGATAAGCATGCTTGTTCTTACCTGTGACTGTGGCAGCGGTATGAGTGCTAGCGGCAGTGACACTAGTGGTGACGGCTGAAGATGTGGTGGTAGCTGTGGTTGTGGTAGCGGTGGTTTGGGCCTTTAGAAGAAAAAGAGTACGTTAGAAGGGTAACGCTTGCTTGGGATAGATAAAACCAATTTCCCACCATACTGCATAATGGTACTTACCACGACGGCGGTAGCCTGTGTGGCGGATGCGGTGGTTGTGGTTGTCGCAGCTGATGTAGCGGCAGATGTAGATGTAGCCGTGGCGGTGGTGGTTGTTGTGGTTCCGGTAGTGCCTACCGTATTAGTAACTCCCGTGACGGCCAAATCGGCCGCATCGGCAACTTCTTGTATGAGTTCTTCTGCCATGTCATTCCCGTTGTTGTCGCCACCGCCAGCTCTCTTGCACAGCAGGATGAGCCAAGCCGTGAATTTGAAGAACCACTCGTAGAGAGTGGTGTAGATATGGAACACAATAATGTAGCAGAGGCCTTTTTTGTAGAGCGCCTTTTCTCGTTCCCACGCCGAATCGACGGATCGACTGGCTTCTGACTTGCAGGATTTGGAGTCATCATTGTCGTGTGCAAAGCTATTGATAAAGTCGTCATGGTCGGTATCGTCGTGATTGGTACTATTGTCCTGTAGTGCTTGTACGTCTTGGATGGATCGAGCACTCTGTTGAGTCGCTGTACGAGTACTGTTGCTGCGATACACGATCTTTTGACTCTCCGTGTCGTAGAGCACAAAGTCGTCATCGTCATCTTCGTCGTCATCGTCAGAGGATGCCGCCAAGATCATGTCTCGAATCTCGGGGGGAATAACCCGGTCGTTGTCGGGGATTGCCTCTTCGTCATAGTGTGCTGAAGGTACCTCGTGGATGGTCGATTGCTGAAGGCCGACAGGAATAGAAGATGTTCTTACTGATCGCATCACGGCTCGGCGGCTCCCGCTGTTGCTGCTGCTGGCGCCACCATCAGAGCCAGTGGCGTTGGACCGTGGGGTTTCCATGCTGTTTTGTTTGTAGGTTATGAATGTATGTATGTCTCTATGAGGAAAGCAAAGCTAAGGCTGTCTTTCTCTTGCTCTGTTGGATGGCTCAGCTATGCTTTAATTAAGATTGAAGTAATGAGGAAGGACAACGCTCCAACCGTGATATGAATGGTTGAGGGCTTCAGTCTTCAGTCTTTTTCTCTTGTAAGAATTGAGCCGACGAAACTAGACTAAGGTGGAAGCAAGCAATTTTGTCAACTCGTGCTCATGTTTGTGTGCCGTACAGCGTACTAGTACGGTAGTGGTACTATGCTACTGACTGTGAATGAAGGGCAGCAAGCCTTCTTGAGTCGAGTCCATTGAGTGTTGAGTGTCTTGACAGGGCTGCAATGACCGGAAAGTCATTGATCAGAGAAGTGCAATGGAGAATGTGCTTTGCCAAATAACCATCAAAGGTTTCGTGACTCGTGACCTTCTTTTCCAAGCTGCTTTCTTTAAAAAACGAACTTAAACGAAGCATGCAGATGGACGAAGAGGTGACCTCAATGATGGATTCAATCGTAGATGAACCTCTGTGCTACAAAGCAATGGGAATGAGTTAATGAGTTCATTAAATTAAAAACCCTGCGCTGGGAATTCGAGAATTCTGAAAACTGGTTGGAGTCACTTACTTTTGGAAGAATGACTGTAGGGAAATATGACAGAACATTAGATTCGATTCGATTCGATTCGATTCTATCTTTGGCTACTGTGACTTACTACTAGCTAGACTAGCTAGCTTATGGGGGTTTTAGAGTAGGGAAAGTATCTACGGAAGCCAGCCAGTATCACCGGTTTGCCAAAAATAATAGGGGGGTTTTACTGGTAAACCAAAAAAGCTCCACAAAAGAGCAGCACACAACATGCCAACAACCCAATGGCGACTCAACCTTTTAGCACATCCTCAATTTTTAAATAGTGTTCAATGGCTGCATCGGTAGCTGGCTCTCTAGCTAGCTAGTAGCCAGAGGCTGAAGCACATATACCCAATGTTGATAGGTTGCCAGGGCAAAAAGGTTCAGGTTTAACAGTCTAAACAGGGCTCTGGCACTGGCTGGCTAGCAGCTGGCTGGCTGGAACGAAGCAAATAGAAAGCTGACCAAGGACAGAATTGTAGCTATCCTCACAGATTGGACATAATAATATATTCGAAATGGAGGTGCGTTCGGTAGCGTGCGTCCAAGCCAGCAACGTGCCGTATCATCGACTTCCCACTTTGAACAGACAGCTACTGAGTATTCTAGCACCCAAGATCAAGACAACAGGAGCGACCATAACTCCAATTATGACAAGCATTGCCTTCCTGTTTGCCTGTTCCGGGAGTGCGGTAATAACTACCAGTAGTTTCTTGGAGTTTGTGGTCAAACTTGCAGCTGGGTAGTAGCTCGCCCAAGGTACCTGGTACCGGTACGGGACGAGAGTGGTGCCGTTCACGAGGCAGCAGGAGGCGTTCTTGAACTTGACAACCAATCCCAATTTGAAGGATCCTAGCTATGTCATAGTTGCTTTCACCGTACGGAGACAATGCATCAACAATACAATAAAAGCACTGCGATTGATTCGATTGATCATTCCCATCAGTGAACGACAGGTGAAAATCCCATCGTGATCCGAAGCTTACGCACGCTGTGAGCGGTCTGAATCTCCACGCTGGAGCGCGAGGCTCACTAAACGTGGAAAATGTCATGAGCTTCGGCTCCTTCCCTCCAAAATCTAAAAACTCCTGTGGTTGGAAGAAACCTTTGCCATTGTCAAGACAACCAACAATGGCCACGGCGAGACTATTCCTCCTTCACGTGCGGCGAAGATGTCCAGGAAAACCTTCGAGTACTGAGAGCTGGGAATGCACCAGAAACGATTACATTGGATGACGTCGATGTCTTGTTAGGGGATAACAGGGATGTTACTGGCACGTTGGAGCTCTTGCACCAGTTCTTTGAAGACTGCTCCTCTCTCTTTCCTAATTCTCGCATCACACTTAAGATTCAATCTTCCAACACGAACATTCCGATATCATTTCCTGTTTCTCTGGTGGCCTCTTTGATTGACCGGATTCCCAATCATCTCGAATCCTTGATATTCTGGAACGTGGTGCTTCGTGGCAGCATCAACCCAGTTTCGGAAGCCTTTGGTCGACAAGATTACCTTTCGGATTTTCAGTGCCAAGGCTGTCCTCTGAAAAGGACAGACCCGGTTGTTCTGGCTTTGTCCCTGTCGAACCGTCCAAGGTTTGGAAAGATTGTCTTTGAGACTTGGGACAGTCAGATTCTCAGGACGTCAGCCTCGAAATGGCTTCTTGTTGCGCTCAAAGCAATCACTTGGAGGAGCTCGTGTTTACGGGGTTGACCGGCGATAGCTTGAATCCCTTCTTCGAGGTTGTTGAGGCTGCACAAGGCCTGAAAGGTCTAACTGTTTTTGTTGGTTCTGCTTCGTTGGATGCATCCAACATGCCTCACTTAACTCGCATGCTTCTTCAACACAACGCCTCACTCACGTCCCTCAAAGTGCGGGTATCTCCTGGGCTTACTCTGGAATTTTTTGTAGAAGGCCTGAAGACGAACACTACGTTGAAGGTGTTGCAAATTGATCTTATCCGAAATTGGGGGTTAGACGAGAATGACCTTGACTTGTTCTTGGAGCTTTTGGAAAGGCACAATTTCACTTTGGAGGAGTTGAACGTGGTGGTGCCTCTGTGGAAGGAAGACATGACGAAGAAAAAGGCAGAAAGGATCAAGTTCTTACTTCGGCTCAACAAGGATCATCAGAGGTTCGACATCTTGCAGAACGACGCTACACGAGATACATTGGTGCATGCGCTGGCCTTGACAGATGACCTTTCTGTCATCGTGTACTATCTCGACCAGAAGCTGTCCCTCTGGATCTAATAATTGTGGAAATCGAGTCGAACGTTGCATCAGTATTGCATTGGCTTTGAGTGGGCTATGTTTATCGGCTTGGCTGTTTGAGTTTACCTTGCTGCAGCACCTTTTTGCTATTTTAATTGTCCTCAATGCGCTAAGAAAGATTTGATTATGCGTGCTAAATTTTGCCGGAGGCAGCTGTGTAGAAACTGAGAATGCGTGGAAGCGACGAAGAAGTGGAGTCTTAGTTTGGGACCAGTCAGCAAAGACGTCCTCCGTTTGCTGCAATATTCATGCGAGCAGAAAGCCCCCGAGAAATGTCGATTCTACGTCGTACCCGAAAAGAGAGCACGCCTTCAAGTTTTCCAGCAATACCATAACCAGAGTTGCGGCACTCAAACTTCAGCATCCGAGGTGGCGATCCAGTACACGGCACTTTGGGGACTTCCGTCATTGTCGTCCAAAAGTAGATTGATATGTTTACCAATGGGATCAATCACCTGCGTGACCTCTGCGTGCTTGTGGCAAAAACCATGTGCTGCTCCACACTAAACTTGTGCGCCACCAGCAATCTCCAAGCAGCACGATCCCAAGGCGCGCGCAACTGAGCAAGCACTATCTCTGTGCGAAATCCAAAGGAAAACAAGAACAATCGATGAAAATGGGACTGCCCAGCATGTGCTTTCGGAGCTTTCTTGGTTGAAAATCCTCAACAGCTCGTGCCAACCATCCTGAAATGCAGTAGTGAAACCAGTGCAAAGCACAATGAGATCCATCTCAAGTTGAGTCCCATCAGCAAAGACAATAGAATTGGACTTCACTTGCTGAATGGCGGGAAGCAAGGATGCACCATTGTCCATTGCCTGCGACAACCACTGGTCTTTGTTCAAAACAGAGTTTAGCAGTCAGACCACAGATGAGCTTTGCACCTGTCATTGCTCTGGCCAGCTTTCTTGAAACCATTTCATCTGGCACCAAATGTGCCAAAGGGAGTGGCCTCAGCCGCAGAGGATAGCTTTGCTGCCACCAGGTGCCATTTCCGGCTCTTGGAAGCATAAGCATCCCCAACAGTACTTGGAGTCAAGTGACCAGGAACACCCCTAATGCTGACAGCCATGGCACAGCCAAGTATTTGCTGATGGTTGCTGCCATGGCAATATCTGATCCTGACTCACCAATGCCGCTACAGTCTTTCCCTCAAAGATGTCGCAGGTTGGCAATCAGAAGTTTGCCCGAAAAGGGCACGCCATTTGCTTCCTGGTACCTTGAAACCAGTAGCCAGACCTGCGGTACTTGGAGTGACGGCAGGAGCATGCGCACCAGATGCCACAACCAAGTAGTCACATGGCACCTTCCGCCGCTCCGATGCCTCTGTACTGAAGAGACCAAATCTTTTGTGTTTTGTGATGCGGTAGGTACACTTGGAAGAGATCAAACTTGCTGGCTGACTGACAGAATACCCCTATGCAGCACAGTAGTCGGCGTATTCTTCTGTGCAATGTGCCATGGATCATTGTCATGCAGTTGGCAATACTGTATTGAGAAGAGGCGGCCACCAGAAGCCTTCTTGGAATGGATCATACTTCAGGCTTGATGTACCGATAGACCAAGCTTCTTCTACCGGACCAGGTATATGGTAGTTCCTTCTGCTGTCCCCAAAGCCTTGCTTAGCTAGCTAGTACCACCGGGAGGCTTTGCGGTACGCCATCGCGTATGAATGGAATGAATCTCCCAAGGCACTCTCTTACTAATAGCTAGGTAGTAAAGCAAAAGAACTACAAAAGCCCTACTCTAAACCCCCTTATATAATAAAGAATTCAGCGTGGCGTGGAACAGGTCCAGTGGCGTTTGAGATGTTCTCCGTGACGTCATTATCTAATCCCGAAATGCCGTTGAGAGCCTTTTTGAGGCGATGGGGTCTTTCTGTTAACTAAATCACACGGAGAAACTCTCTTTTTGGTCTTCGAATGCACTTATTGTTTGCTCTGATGATGGGGTAATCACCACACTCGCGGTACCGGTACTGGACCACACCACTAGGACCGCCAAGAATGCCCACGTATTGATTGAACAACAGGCAGACACCTTTACCGAACAGAAACGATGAGTAAGACAAGTATTTTGAGATCTTGGTCTAGCTCGATCATGTCCAATCTTTGAAGGAGGATCCCCCAAGCAGAACGAGAGCTAGAGCTAGAACCTGAAGCCAACGCGCTGTACTACATGTACTTGTTGCCTACGTAGGTAGCTAGTTAGAGGTTGGATATGATTTGATTTTGCTTGGCCCAAATTGTTGGTCGGGTCCCCAACTTGTCCCCCCTGAACCCACCGAACCCAGCCTTCGCTCAATTTCAACTCCTCTTTCTTTACAAAAAAAAAGGCTGGCTCACTGCCAACTCCCGTAGCGGTAGTCTAGCTAGTACAGTTCTGTAGTAAGTATTCTCATGGGTGGAAATGTAAGTAAGGATAGCATCTCTAACAGAAATACCTTTTTACATGTATCGTACGGCTGTAGCCATGCTTGTTTGAGAATCCCCCATTACCCTTCCAAGAGCACTCCTTGATCACCATTGGCATTCTTTGTTCTTTGTACTGGCGAATGAGAAGCCTTTTTTTGTGGTCAGGTCATTGCCACCGATTTTAGTGCGATCCATCACCCAGGCATGCAGCATAGCATCCAGGCATGCAGCCAGGCAGCAGCAGCAAGATTCTAGAGTCTTCCGCAGGCACTTTCACCATTCTCACCATTGTTATTATTTATTTGGACTTGCTTGCTTGAGTTACTTGTTATTTATTAGTAGAGATAGTAATGAGCACAACGCCCATGACCGGAGTGGTAAAGACGAGTGGTATTGCAAGCGGCACACTAGGAACAGATTCGAACGAGTTGTATATTCAAGGCATTGGCACGATGGACACTGCTACAACTGGAAGCGCTGCTGCTGCTCGTAAGCAACTGACATTGTCTCCGATTTCCCGCCCCAAAGCATCGTTGAGTCCGAAAATGAAGAGCGGACTCAAGAGCAGTCAGTCGACGGGTTGTTTGAAACGCAACAAGATTTCGTTTGGATCTCCGCAAATGTTGGTCTTTGAAAAGGATATTGACAATGAAGACGAAGAACACAAGAATTCAGTGTGGTACTCCAAGAAGGAGATGAAATCGATTCGTAAGGATTTGAAAAAGAGTATCAAAAAGGGCGAAATCACGCGCGGACTAGAACAGTACGAAGGCGATATGGGCACGGAGAACAAGCAGAAGCGGTTGAATCACATTTACTCCATTTTGGATTTGCAACGCGAGCAACAAGAACAGGGCATTCAGTGCGACAAGTCCTTGCAAATGCTCAGTCGCGCCATGAGTGCCGACGATATCGGACGGGCGCGACGACTGGCGAGTATGGATTCCACTGAAGCGTTCTCGGAGTACACCAAGACCCAGTCCAGCATGATTCGAACCAGCAGTCGCAATGCGCTCGATAATTTCCGAAAGACCGTCGTCAAGAACAATTCCAAATTGGCACTGGCACAAGCCAATGGACTCGGGCCATCATCATCGTCACAAGGAGGCGGTGGTAAGAATGCCACTTTTGGATCGTCCACTGGAAGGAGAAAGAAATCGGGAGGACCCAACTTGTTGCTGGCAGCCATGGCCAATCGAAAGAAAGCGACTCCTCCGGCGCAGCCAGGAGCACAAGCGGGAGTCGCATGACTACCACCGCCGGCGACCATGACTGGACTTGGATCGATGAGTAGTAGTAGTAGTGGCATTCGGAATGACGGCACGGCGGCTCTTTCGGGCAGCATGAGAAGAATCGTCAGTAGCTCGAAAATGAAAATGAGAATGCCATTAGAACTCAAATTGGAACGACTCGTCGAACACGAAAATGAATCCAGATCCTCCTCACGATCGTCGTCACATGAACAATTATTTTCACAACAAGAAACACAACAACAATCAGCATCATCAACACGCAACACTACTATACATTCTTTACCACAAGGCACTCTACAAAAATACGGACTCGGATTTCAAAAATAAAATAATAAACAAGTAGTACTAACTAATACACGTTAATAAAACGCAACAGCAATTTCTAGTAAATTAAGCAGAGTAACAGAAACTAAAACGCAGTGATCACCGCTCTGCTCGAAAGCGGCCAATTTAAACACGCATCTAGCTAGCCAGCAGACCAAGGCATCGGTAGCTCTTGGGAAACAAACTGCATCGGAACACTCGTCAATCGACTCGACTCGACTGACAGCTCTCGGAAGCTCCGTTCTTCTTTGATCCGCACCACCTCTAGCTAGCTACTAGCTAGCCAGATCCATCCTCCCGGTACATGTACCGTATGTACTCGTGGGCTGGCTGTCGTCTCATACTCGCAGTATTAACGCACCTTGGGGAAGAAAAAACTATTTAGAGGTAGTTTGTTGCCTGTAGTCACCATGCTTCAAGTCAGTCAGTCAGTCAGTCAGTGGTGGGCCGATGGAATTCAATCATCCGCTTCGGATGCACCTCGTATTGTCGTTCTCCCTGTCTGTCTCGATCCGATACCGGTGGCAGTCTAGACAGAGTGTCGAGTAACGTCGAGTTTACCCGGCTTCTGGCTATCATCTTTCTAGCTACCGTAGCCAGTCTACTAGGTCGGTTGCTTTGCTTGGCCTCGGTTCTTCTGACGTGGGACTCGAAAGGAGAAACAACCACCGATAAACTCTTATTGTACCACTTTAGCTGGCATCTTTTTCTCTCCCTTCTCCTGATTGTTTGATGTACCGTACCTTACTGATGGATAGCTACCACCAGCAACTTACTTGCTTGCTGTTGGATACAAGCAAAGTGTAGGCGACTCGACTCGACTCCCTGGTTTCTTGTGCTACGGTATAACCTTCCTCAGGTCGCTTCCTTGACTTTCTTCTGTCTATTTGCTTGCTTGGCTTCGAGAGTGAAGTGCACCTTGTCAGCATCATTGGACAGCAGCACAGCCGTCGGAATCTATCATGTGAACCGAGGGCTACTATCAAGGGAAACCAAACTACAGTGTGCCCCCAAGATTTCTTTTCCTCTCAACCAAAAACCAGTGGTAGTTCACCGTAGCAGGAGTGCTCCTTTGGGGCCCTTTCCCACCTTTGGACTGTTGTACGGTGGCTGCATGTGGCTATGCATGGTCAGGTTGTTTTCGCCGTGGAAATGCGATCTCCACGTCTGGCTGGCGCATGGGAAAGCTGAACGCCACAAAACGCCACGACCAGCTCCCGATTTCTTCCCACTCTCGCTTCTCCGTCTTCGCTCTCCGTCGTCACTCTATCAAGATGATACTGCAGCGGATAATCCCGTTGAAGAAATCTCCTCTCGTCTGACTGACAATGGATGTCAGATTGGCTGTTTATCGATGGCTCCACTGTCGCGGTGAAGTGATTTTCTATCGCAATTCTTGGCTCCACGTCCACGGGGCGCCCATGAGTCGAGTCGAGTCGAGTCGAGTCGAGTCGAGTCGAGGCCTCTGCTATTGTTACAACAGGCGGCTACTACATGGCTACTGTGACAGAGTTGATTACAGAGAAATGTTTCGGAACGATGGATCGGACGGAGCGAGCATGGACTCTTTCTTTCGGTCGACAGACCGATGACTGGCTCTTCAAGCAATCGAAGACTTCGACGGAGCGATGACCGGCAATAGCTAGTCTTCACTGCCTCCACAGCTTGTGCCGCTTACAGATAAGTTCTTTGATGGCATCAATGCTCAGCCAACAGTCCCTGAATGCGTTTACTCCGTCTTCCTTCTTGGAAACATGACAACCAGGTTGAATTTAAACAGATTTGCCGTGTTGCCTAATTGGAACACTTCTATAGATTCCGTGCATTGCTGGCACCGGATGACTCTGAGAGTTATATTTAATAAAATCAAGATAGAAATAGAGACCATTCGATCAACAACAGATGCCATGGTGGTTGAACCAAACATGGAACTAGAAAAGGCAACCAACTAATTTCGCACGAGGACATTTTGGTTTTCAGGGTTATTCAACAATTATGGAACATCAGCGTTGAACCTGTTTCCTTCTTCCTCCTCTATCGGGCATCCATTTTGGCGTGCCCACTGTGCCACTGCAGTATGACCACAGGCTTCAGCTCCCTCAATTGTATCAGAATCCCAAGGGCAATGATTTGAACGGAGCCACATCAGTATGACCAAATGCCCCCCTCTGGCAGCAGCAGAGCATGTGTCTTGATCAAACCCACATCCTCTCTCATGAGCCCATTTCAGTATGTCAAAATGACCAAAGGCAGCAGCTGCATTGCATGTCATTTCATCCCATGGGCATCCATTCTGGCGAGCCCATTTCAGAATTTCAAAATGACCCCCTTCAGCAGCTGCATAGCATGTCATTTCATCCCATAGACAGCCATTCTCTCGCACCCATTTCAACACGTCCAGGTGCCCACCGCTTGCCGCACCTGAGCATGCCCACTCATGCCATGGACAACCATTCTCCCGTGCCCACTTCAGCATTACCAGGTGACCTCCTCTCGCAGCACCAGTGCATGTAAATTCATCCCATGGACAGCCATTCTCCCGCGCCCACTTCAGCATTACCAAGTGTCCATTTCGAGCAGCATCTGCACATGTCATGGCATTCCATGGGCAACCATTTGCACGAGCCCACTTCAGTATTTCCAACTGTCCATTTTTAGCAGCAATTGCACATGTGTCCCCATCCCATGGACATCCATTCTGCCGGGCCCACTTCAGCATATCCAAATGACCATTTTTAGCAGCATTTTCACACGTTTGTTTATTCCAGGGGCACCCATTCTCTCGTGCCCAATTGAGGGCTTCAAACTGGCAAAAGCTAGCAGCTAACGCGCATGTGCGCTCGTCCCAAGGACAACCATTTTCACACATCCATTTCAGAATTTCCAGATAACCACTACCAGCAGCAACTGCAAAGGTGTCAGCGTCCCAAGGGCAGCCATTCTCCTGTGCCCATTTGAGTATTTCCAAGTGACCACTTTGGGCAGCAATTTGACCTGTCAGGTTGTTCCATGGGCACCCATTCTCTCGCAACCACTTGAGTATTTTCAAATGACCTGCTCCTGCAGCATACATACATGCTTGCTCATCCCAAGGGCAGCCATTCTCATGCATCCACTGGAGTGTTTCCAGATGGCCACCAGCCGCAACAGTAGCAAATGTTATCGCATCCCAAGGACATCCATTCTGACGTGCCCACTTGAGTGTTTCCCAATTACCAGCAGCAGCAGCAATAGTGCAGGTTGCTGCATCCCATGGCCAGTCTTTGGCCCTGGCCCACTGAAGAACTGCAACAGTCCCATTCTTAGCGATACATGAACAAGCAACATTAAAGGCTGGAAATTTGAAGGGGTTGTTATCGGCATGCCAGTGTTCGGCGCATGCCACATTGAGAAAAACAGCAGAACAGAACGTGTCTGTTTCGATGGCTTTTGTTTGAACATATTCACCAGTAGTGCCATTCCAGATCAACTTTGTTGCAGTGGGTGGATTTTTCACGGACTTGCCGTACTCTTTGTAGAGTGTATTGAGTTTTTTGTTGACAGCCCCAATGAAAGCGTAATGACCCAAGCCAAGACAGGGAAGAATCTGATCAATCCATATCTCCTTGTGATTAAGCAACTCACTGAAGCCAACTGGAGGATCAACTTTCTGCTTTTTCAAGGCGGGTTGGCTAGCAGTAGACGGCGAAGAAGACATGATGAATGCTGTCCACTAGCTAGAATGGTAGACAAGGAGGGTGCTCTTCCTTATTGCGCTGCTGAAGAACGAAGAGCGAAGCACCGGAAGAACGATGTATGCATATGAAAGACAGCTATCGGTACCGGTAGTTCCGGTAAGTTTAGCGTTAAAGCTATCGTTCACTAGAACGCTTTTGTTTTAGCTAGATAGCTAGAGCTAGTTTTGAATCCGCATCTACCTGTATTTCCAACCCGTGTGTTGTGGTGAAAGCTTAGCCTTAGCCTTAGCGCTACTGCAGATTGTTCTTCACCATCCAATGGTCGACCGAAGATCCGACCGCCAACATCACCAAGCTAGCTAGTCTCTCTCACGTGTTGGAACTGTTCAACTGTTTGTGGAACTGTACTTGTATTGATTGATTGATTGTAATAGATCATGGTATTTTATTTCAAGTCACTGGATGGTGAGTTTTCGTACTACATGGGAAAAGACAAGTACGAGAATGAAGATTTGATCAAATACGGCTTGCCCGAAGATGTCTGGTTCCATGTGGACGATTTGAGTTCCGCTCATGTCTATTTGCGCATGAAACCCGGCATGACGTTGAATGACATTCCCGAACCGATTTTGCTCGAGTGTTCTTCTCTCGTCAAGGCCAATTCGATTGTGGGGTGTAAGGTAAGAAAGAAAGTAGCAAAGAAGTACTTAGTTGTAGGAGGAAAGGAAATGAATGTCCATTCACAGTCTCATTTTTGTTTGCTTCTTTTTTGTTGTCATGACAAATTGCAGAAAAGCTCGGTCTACGTGGTGTACACTCGTTGGAAGAATTTGAAAAAGACGGCGAGCATGGTGGATGGTCAAGTGGGCTTTCACCGTCCCGAAAATGTGCGTCGCATGCAAGTGGAAAAGAACAATCCCATTGTACGACAAATTGAAAAGACGAGAGTGGAAGAGTATCCCGATTTGTTTCAACAACAGCAACAACGAGAAAAGGAAATTCAACGACAAAAGAAGGAGCAACACAAACTCGACCTCAAGGCCAAACAGGCGGCCGCCGCACAAGCACGGCAAGAAAAGGAAGCACGGAGTTACGATCGCATCATGACGACCGACAACATGACCAGTAATACCGAACTCAAGGCGTCAGCAGATACATCGGCAGCAGAAGAATTCGAAGATGATTTCTTTTGAACAAGTACTGAGACTAGAAGTATACAACAATTCACGCAAGTTTGCTAGCTATAGATAGGGACACCACCGTGGAGACGCACTGCTGCCAGTTCTCTGCAATAGTTTGGGTGGCTTTGCTTTTGGAATGGAAGCTTGGTGCACACTCATTGCATGCTTGGAGCCCATCATTAGACCGGATGTACATGTATCCGTACTCTGCAGCTTGGTCTTTTCGTGCCCAGTACCTGGTACGTACTTTAAAATAGGATGCATTTTCAACACGGGAAACACCACAGGTTGTGCTTCGTGTCGTTGCAGACCAATGGAATGAATCGAATCGAATCGAATCACATTGAATCCACGAGAGCAAGGCAACGGCAGAACACACAGGTCTATCGTGGCTGCTCACGGTTCTAGCTATAGCTAGACACCGGCTCAACCCAAAAGACGTGGTGCGGAGGAGAGACGTCAACGCACCGCCTACTGGAGTAGTGAGCAAACACCACTAGATCCCTGGATGGCAAATAGTAAGATCAGGAGAATGAATCCTGCCGGTACCGGTATCTCTTTTGTAGTTTTGTGTGAGTCAGTCCAGAAGAGAGCAAACTGCCCCCCCCCCCCGGTATGTATCTACAAACCACAATCAGATCAAAGCTAAGAATCATCATAACATGACACTTTTTGTCTGCTACGAAGACCTCAACAACATGACCGTAGACACCGAATCTAGTTATACATTCATGATGCATCAAGATGTATCACCTGCACCTACAAAAGACCGCCACCATATTTCGCAAAAGGCTCGGCCTCACCATTCTCATAGGCCGACAGGGCATCACCAATATCTGCCAAGGACATGGCTTGGCAGTATCCCGGTCGGATGGATCCTTCATATCCCAATGAACCACTGATCTTGGGATTGCGAAAGCTAAAATTAAACAAGGCGCGAGCTTTGTTCTTGTCTTTGGAGGAATTGGCATTCCCACAATGCAGAGTGCGCGCATCAAAGACAATGGCATCCCCTTTCTTGAGATTGGCCAACCGACAATCCGCTCCAGTCAATTGAGCATTCTTGACGTCCACATCCCCCGACATGAATTGTGCATTCTGAGCCGCTGTATGGCTCTTTAACAAAAAGCTAGTGGGTCCCATGTCTTCTGTCACGTCCTGGAGTGCACAAAAGACTACGTACAGAGGAGCTGGATCTTGAAAGGGAAGGTCCGGGTGGATGGTTTGCCGGTGACTTCCTGGATGGGTCACCACCGCTGCCAATTCGTAGAATTCTCCTTTGGGAGTGACAAGTTTTTCGTAGAGAGACCGGAGGGATCCTTGAGCGCCAAGAATCTCCAGAAGAGCATCCGCCAGGACATGTTGTGTTGATTCTGCTCCAATAATATCATCATTGCTACTAGTATCAGCATCCGCCTTGTATCCACCTCGTAAGAGACTCAATTGCAAATCACAACGATTCTTTCGGGCTTGCTCCACACCATAAAACCCTCGAGACTTGGAAGGATCTTCTGCCGTAACATCTTGTGCCACTTGCTGTTGTTCCAAAACAAATGCTCGCAATTGATCGGCAACTTCATTCGACAAAACGTTTTCCACCAAGAGGACACCATCCCGTTTCAATGTCTTGGCCTGCTGGTTCGCCAAGCGAGCTTGTGAGGTGCTCTTTTGAGAAGCGGCAAAACCAGTCCCTCGCTCCGTAACGGCCGTGAGCTTTGGTGCTTTCATAATGCTAGTGACAGGCGCCAGTAATGCTTCTTCTACCTCTGAACGGCGAAGCATGGCTTGCTGCTGATCTTGGTAGAGCAAATCTCTGGCGGCATCTGATGCGGATGCTGACATGGCCGTACAAGCAGTACTAGTGCATGATGTAGACTGGGATACAAAGGCTAACGCCATGTTGGATTGGGCGCAGCCCCAAAGAGCTACAAATAGTAGCCGGCGCGAATTAGATGATGATGGCGATCGCATGCTTCTAATGAAATAACAAAATGGGGCTAGCAGAGTACTACTGCATGGCGGATGGCGACGCTGTGTCTACTGTTGTACGGATGATGTTCGATTATCTACATCAAAGAAAACAAGCTGTTGCTGTGCGTAGCTGTGTTGCTGTTCTCTCCAGTCTCTTTCCGCCACAGCGACTGGCAGGCGCATTTATTCCCGTCGATGCCAGACCGTTCAACCGAGTAAGTGTAGCGGTTGCATGACAGGCATCCATGGACGCACGAGCACGAGCCGCAGTGCGGTACCACTGTACCGTACCGTAGCCTTGGAGATGAACACAATGAGGATCCAACATTGTTGCCCAACAGGTGGTCAGCAAGAAGCTACGGAAGTGTGACACTGATCCTGCACCCTGCACTCTTGGAGATTGCATTGAAAGGGCCTCAAATGTTTCTTTGCTCGCAAACTCCTGTACCCGCCTGACTTCCTGGAACGGTACAATCATCGACCAAAACCACATTGGGTGGGCAAAGTTCCTTCAAGGCCAACTGGCTGGCCAAGCTTTGGACCAAGCACCAGAATGAAATCTTCATCATGTTTTAAAAGCAGCACACCTCCAAGAAGCACAGGGCTGTAAGGACCGCCAAACTGGCTCATCTCCTTCAACAGTGGCTGTTTCCTACTTTCTTGGGATGGTTGAAATGCAGCCAGCCAGGCACAGCAGAGACCAACAGCAGCAGTGGGTCAAGAAGCAGCAACAATGCCAATGTGAGCGAGGTGGAGCTCCTTTGCAAACAGGCGGACCAGGTGCCACTCTCCCTGGTAGCTACATTCGATTTTCAAGCGACAGGTGGTGGAACAGATGGCAATGCATGATGTCACCATCAGATATCATTGCTTGGTTGGCCAACTGATTGCCAGAGGCAGATTAGGCGATCCACAAAAACAGACACCTTGCAGCAGCCTTCTACGAGGCTGCATAGACTTTGAGTTGTGCCTTTCGGTTCGACGACGAATCCGAGGATGGTAGCATAGATACGGACAGCAGTACCATAGTGCAGCAAGCAGCAGTGCCCATGGGTCCACCACAGGGTAACCCATCCCTTAACTTCATGCCCTGGTTGGGTTTTTAACTTTCCCGGCCGGGGGAGGGGGGCAACTCTCCACTCCAATGCTTGTGGGAGATATTCGTTTAGGGTAGTGGTGCGGTGGCTGGACAAGTCATATGACTGTACACAGAGTAGCCCAAAATAGGTTTCTTTCATCTACGACAAACACAGGATCCTAAAAGTAAGATCAGAACAATAATGAATCCTGCCCGGTATCTCCTTCGTGGTCTTGATTCAGTCGAGAAGAGAGTTATCTGGTCCTCTCTTGTTGGAGACTGAGCTCCAAGACCTGCTGGCCGTCTCGGCCGCGTCCCGACACAACCAGCACCGTTACGAAAATTGGCTCTTTTATTAGCTCTCTGATCATTGATCATGGAGGCTAGGAATGGGTTGGTAAAACTTCAAAACAAAGTTGAAATTGATAATGACTTGGAGCAGAAAGGATCTCTGGCTTTAGATCGCTGACTTTAACTCCTAGGATCATTGCCTTCCACACAATTAGAAGCCAGTGTTCCTAGCAACAGCAGCCAGGTGGCCGAAGAGGTTAAAGCCAGCAATAATTTTTCTGTTCCACAATGACTTTACTATACAGTTATCAGTACAAACAATGTTCCAGTTGGACCAAAGTAGAAGTCCGGTTGTCCGGTTCCCGATCAGAGGGAAGCAGGTGTTCTTGGGAACTGGGAACACTGGCTTCAAAACCAGTGATCCGGCCTTTTTTTTAAAAGCCAGTGTTCCAGACAACACTGGCTTCGTAGATCCCGGATCCCGACAAAGAAACGAATACTACACTTTGTGTAGTTCTCGAGTAGTTCTCGAGTAAAGCTGGTTTACCGCGAGGTGCAGTCGGTCGGCAAGAAGCTACAGCTGTTGCTGCGTTGCTATTCTAGATTCTATTCCATCTCTCTCCACCAGCAGGACTCGAAGGTGCATGTATGTATTCCCGTCGATGACGGTACCGGTACCGTTGAGAATGCGGTACCACTTCTCGCGGTTGCATGATGGCAGGCATCGCATGCACGGCCCCTCGAGCTCCCTGGTCCCTCGCGCAATGGATACTAACCAGGTAGTTCAACCTCTATTCAGCTACCAGGTATGCAGCCTTTGACGACTCGACTGATGAGGACTCTACTGAGAATAAAATTTGACACTGTTGCGAGGTGCGTGAGAGTTGGTGGATAGTTCAATTTTAGTTGGTCTTTAGTTGTGTGGAAGCTTCGACACTTCCACACAATCAGGCAGAGAAGTGGCCTTTATATCCTTTTGGCATCAACAGTGCCAGCAAAGAAGGTTTCTGCATACGGTAGGCAGGTTGGAGATACTGCACAGTGCACAGGCACTGGCAGCCAACACGGCATAGCATACGTCAGTACGATGTACAGTAGTACCACTGAACGACAAACATTTTTAAAATTGCTCCCAGAATATCAGAAAGCTGGCCAACAACACGCCGCTAGCTTAAAATTTGCAGGGTCAAAAATCGAGCCAAATCAAATCATCAGAAGACTGAAGCTAGCCCTCAGCCATCGTAATTCATGCGAGACAAGTCTCGGTTTGTGTTGCCCGCAATAAAGAGAGAGAAAATCTGTCTGCTTGATAGCGCCGCCAGTCACTTGTGCTATTGCTACCCTTTGTTACTCTGTGTTCCGTTCGATTGCCCAATCGTTCGAGAGAGTTCGAGAGAGCCAGAGTGAGTGAAAGACAGCCTCAGCTTGGCGTCTGACAGAGTCATACATCATTCATAACCTAAAGGAAAGCATGGGAACCCCACGGTCACAAACCACTGGCTCTGATGGCACCAGCAGTAACAGTGGGAGCCGCCGAGCCCTGATTGCATCAGTGCGAACAAATTCGACCTGTGTCGGCCTTCAGCAATCAACCATCTACGAGGCTTCCCACTCTGACGGAGAGGCAATCCCTGCCAAGATCCTGGCGGCATCCTCCGACTATGATGGTGACCTGCATTCCAATGAGGACTTTGTATTCTATGACGTGGAGAGTCAACAATTCGTGTATCGCAGCAACAGTACTCGTACAGCAACTCAACAATGCGCTCGGTCCATACAAGACCTACAAGCACTACAGGACAATAGTACCAATCAGGACGATACCGACCATGATGATTTTATCAACAGCTTTGCACATGACAACGACGACAGCAAGTCAGAAGCCAGTCGATCCGTCGATTCGGCATGGGAACGAGAAAAGGCACTCTACAAGAAAGGTCTCTGCTACATTATCTTTTTTCATATCTACCACTCTCTCTACGAGTGGTTCTTCAAATTCACGGCTTGGCTTATCCTGCTGTGCAAGAGGGCTGGCGGTGGTGACAACCACGGTAATGACATGGCAGAAGAACTCATACAAGAAGTTGCCGATGCGGCCGATTTGGCCGTCACGGGCGTCACTAATACAGTAGGCCCTACCGGAACCACAACAACTACCACCGCAACCGCCACCTCTACAAGTGCCGCCACATCGGCTGCAACAACCACAACCACCGCATCGGCCACACAGGCTACCGCCGTCGTGGTAAGCACCATTTTATGATGGGGAAAGTGGTTTATCTGTCCCAAGCGTCAACCTTCTGACTTCCTCTTGTTTCCTCTTAGGCCCAAACCACCGCTACCACCACCACAGCTACCACCACATCTTCAGCTGTCACCACTAGTGTCACTGCCGCTAGCACTCATACCGCTGCCACAGTGACAGGTAAGAACAAGCATACTTATCTCGGGTAGTACCACCAAGACACAGCACTGGGTTCTCCTCACAGTTCTTCTTGCCGCCTGCCATAACTATTGTAGCAACCACTACTGGAACCACTGCAGCCGCCTCCACGGGTACTGCAGCAGCAGCTACAGGGACTGCCACCGCCACGGGAGCCGCAGCAACAGGGACAGCTACAGCTACAGCCACTGGAGTAGCCAACGCAGCTGTAGTGGTAGGTACACTTGCACGGCTTTGAATCCTCTTCCATTATCATCATGCATCCAATCTCATTTCTCTCTTCTTCCTTGTTTGGTAGGCACAAATGGCGGTAGTATCGGCCCAAGGAGCCGCCGGGGCCACTGCGGCTGCCACAGGAGCTGCAGCAGCCACAGGAGCTGCAGCAGGTGAGTACCACTGCTGTTGCAACATCAAAGCTCGTCATCATGATACATTTACAACCTAACCCCCGTTTGTTTGTAACCAACCACAGGAGCAGCTGGAGTTGGAACAGCCACTTCGGCAGCCATGTCTGCCACGGTCACAGCGACGGCAACATCCACTGCCACCTCTCAAGCGGCTGTAGCTGTTGGTGTGGCCACTGTGGCAGCTTTCTCTACCACTGTGGTTGTTGTCTCCTCATACCACCATAATGTTCAAGAATACTATAACTTTGGAGATCAATTCGTTCCTCCTATCTGCTCTCTTGCATCCGAATCCAAACAAGGATGTGTTGAGTTGCAGTTGAGAGGGTTGCCAGCCGATATTTTTGAATCCACAGAGGAAGACAACATGGAATATTTTCAACATACCTTTCGAGATGTCTACAATAGTATCACTGGCATGTGTCTGGACACCTATGATAGAGTGATCCACGAGGCCAGGCTTGTGGAATGGGAGACAGATTGGGGAGACTATGAGAGCATCAGTCAAGACAAGGCGCATGCAGACTATGACTGGGCAGTGGCCAACAGCATCACCACCATGTACTGGGAGACCACGGTGGCTTGTACTGGGTGTCCTGATCAGGAACCTCTCTTCTCTGTGCCAGATGACTACAACATTCTCCAACTACAGCAACGCAACGATTCCCGGAAGGACGACTTTGATTTCTCCAATTTCTTCAGCCTCTTTGTGGCATCTTTTGGCTTTACTGTGGATCGCTATGTCAACGGCGTCACCTTCTTGTTCAACAATACAGTTGTCTATGGTAATGATACTGCTCTGGCTTTTCAAAATCGAACCGATGAAGGTATTCATGTTGTTGAAGCCAGTACAGTTGAGTGTCGTGCGCCAGTTGTGGAGGGACAACAACAAGCAGCCACCAATACAACCAGAGGAACAACCATTCAAACATTGGACGAAGAAGAAATCTTGGCAGCTAGAAATGTGGTGGATCAGAACAATGGAACAGTTGTCACTTCAACAGCTCAACAGAATCTTGATTCTATTCAATCCTGCTTTGATGCTGGCACCAATGAAGTTGTGGGTGAATCTCAGTTCTGCCAAACAGTAACACAAAATTCCAATATGCGAGGAGAAGAGCTTGCAGCATGTGCGCGTGATGCAGCTTCTGGAAATGCAAACAGGGAGTGTCAGGAAGCTTTTGGTAGAACATTGGACAACCTTTCACCAACAGTGGCACCAACCCCCTTTCCAACAATGCCACCAACTTTGTCACCCACAAAGAAACCAACCCCATCACCAACTTATGAACCAACTTATGAGCCAACTTATGAGCCAACTTATAAGCCAACTAAAGCTACAACACACACTCCAACCAGTGAACCAACATTTCAACCTACACCCAACCCTACCCATGAGCCCACATTTTCTCCTACCACCAGAGATATTCCTGACTATTCAGGTGCAGCTGCACAAGGACCCCCATCACCAACTGGGACCCCAACTACTCTTGAGCCCACTTCAACTCCACCCACCCCAATCCCAAGCACAGCACACCCAAACACTTCGCGTCCAACAACAGCACGCCCGAGCACATCGGTTGTGAGTCAAGCCTCTGCCAGTCCAGCACCCGTCACTTCAAATCCAAGTACCACCCCGTTTCCACCCAGCGCTAAGACTGCCACTGCAATCCCTAGTCACATCCCCTCAACAACACGTCCCAGTACTCATACTACTTCTCCAAGTCCTAGACCAACCACGGCACACCCGAGTACTGCAGCACCCACTACACTGAGCCCAGCTGTAACTCCAGCATCACCAAGTGTCAGCCCCACTACTGCACGTCCCAGTACTCTTGACCCTACTGTGTCTCCCAGTACTCTGGCCCCCACAATAGCTCCCACTACCAGTCCTACTACCAGTCCCACTACCAGTCCTACTACCGAAAGTCCAACTGAAGCACCCATCACAGATCTCCCCACTGTGGCTCCAACATCAACCGGTGTCATCCCCACTACAACTCGTCCAACTACCTCTCCCAACACCAGTCCCACCACTGCAAATCCAAGCACTGGAGCACCTGCCACCATGCGCCCCACTGCGTCTCCAATTACAGATTTCCCAACACAAACTGATCCACCAACAAGCTTCCAGTGTACCCTTGATACAGAGGGAACCGCTCGCTACAGTATCACACTTGAGAATGCTCAGTCACTCTCAAATGATCAGCTCATTGAAGCCTTCATTGGAGCTGATGCTGCACTGGAGAAGGATGAGTGTACTCCTGTTGTACTCAGAGTATCCGTTGCAGGAAGAGACCAGGAAAGAAAGCTTCAGGAGTCAGAATCAAGGCAACTTCAGTTAACAGAAATTGTTTCGTTTAACGTTGAAGCCTTGGTAGAGCCTGAGATTTTCCCACTTGTGGATTTCAGCCTATTTGGCGGGGATGTAGGTGACGATGGCTTCACAGAGGCTTTCCGTGAAAATGATATCATTGTGGACAGTGGTGCTGTTGTCTTGGAAGCAAGGGATGTTGATCCACAGACACTACCACCAGTCAATGCGCCTACAGAATTCCCAGATGCTCCACCAACCTTTGAGCCACTGGACTTTCCCACCTTCGAGCCACTGGAAGGTCAACCTACCTTCACGCCATTGGACTTGCCAACCTTTGAGCCATTTGACTTCCCAACCTTCGAGCCATTCAACTTTCCAACCTTCAAGCCACTGGACCTCCCAACCTTTGAGCCACTGGATTTTCCAACCTTCGAGCCTCTGGATTTTCCCACCTTTGAGCCATTAGACTACCCAACCTACGAGCCACTGAACTACCCAACCTACGAGCCATTAACTACCCCACCTACGAGCCATTAACTACCCAACCTATGAGCCACTACTACCCAACCTACGAGCCACTTGGACTACCCAACCTACGACCATTGGACTACCCAACCTACGAGCCATTAGACTACCCAACCTACGAGCCACTCAGACTACCCAACCTACGAGCCACTCAACTACCCAACCTACGAGCCACTCAACTACCCAACCTACGAGCCACTCAACTACCCAACCTACGAGCCACTCACTACCCAACCTACGAGCCACTCACTACCCAACCTACGAGCCACTCACTACCCAACCTACGAGCCACTCACTACCCAACCTACGAGCCACTCAACTACCCAACCTACGAGCCATTCACTACCCAACCTACGAGCCATTCACTACCCAACCTACGAGCCATTCAACTACCCAACCTACGAGCCATCGACTACCCCACCTTCGAGCCTTTCGACTACCCAACCTATGAGCCATTCGACTACCCCACCTTCGAGCCATTCGACTACCCAACCTACGAGCCATTCGACTACCCAACCTTTGAGCCATTCGACTACCCAACCTACGAGCCACTGGACTTCCCAACCTACGAGCCACTGGACTACCCAACCTACGAGCCACTAACTACCCAACCTACGAGCCACTAATTCCCAACCTACGAGCCACTAACTACCCAACCTACGAGCCACTACTACCCAACCTACGAGCCACTGACTCCCAACCTACGAGCCACTACTCCCAACCTACGAGCCACTACTCCCAACCTACGAGCCACTCACTACCCAACCTACGAGCCACTCACTACCCAACCTACGAGCCACTAACTCCCAACCTACGAGCCACTGGACTTTCCAACCTACGAGCCACTGGACTTTCCCACTTTCGAGCCAATAGAAAGTCAACCTACGAGCCACGGGACTTCCCAACCTTCGAGCCATTTGACTACCCAACCAACCAGCCACTGGACTACCCCACCTTCGAGCCATTCGACTACCCAACCTACGAACCATTCGACTACCGAACCTACGAGCCATTCGACTCCCCAACCCTCGAGCCACTGGACTTTACTACCAACAATTCCTCCCTCTGAAGAAGCCACAACCTGTTTTCTTGACATAGCAGGTACCACATTTTATGGTGTCTCTATTGATGATGCCGGATCACTTTCAGACGAAGACTTAGTATCTGCCTTCATGGAAGCTGATGGCAACCTTGTAAAGGATGAGTGTGATCCCTCAGTGGATAGTGTGTCAGTTGTTGACCGTGGTCCAGTGAGGAGACATCTGATGTCACACAAACGAAGAGGGCTGCAAGACAGTGAACTTGTTGTGTTCGAAGTTACTGCCATGGTAGATCCCGACTTTAACCCACCAAGTGGATTCAGTTTGTATGGTGGGACTGTAGGTGATGTCAGGTTTGTTGAGTTTCTTGATTCTGTGCAATTGATCATTGATAGTGGTGCTACTGTGGTGGAAGCTGGAAATGTCGCTGAACCAACAGACCCACCAACAAGTACTCCAACCAACTTACCAACAAGTACTCCAACCAACCAACCTACCAATGCACCATCAGTAGGTCCATCCATGACTCAATCAGACTATCCATCTGTCCAACCGTCGGTTGGTCCATCTACGAAACCATCAGAGGGCCCATCTACGCAACCATCCCTGTCATCAGGTAGTCCATCAGTTGCCCCATCTCTCAGACCATCCAGGACACCGTCGATGTCACCATCAGACAGTCCTTCCATAGCACCTTCAACAGGTCCATCGGAGACTCAATCAGACTATCCATCTGTCCAACCATCTTTTGGTCCATCTACGAAACCATCAGACAGCCCATCTACGCAACCATCCCTGTCATCAGATAGTCCATCAGTTACCCCATCTCTCAGACCATCCAGGACACCGTCGATGGCACCATCAGACAGTCCTTCCATAGCACCTTCAACAGGTCCATCCGAGACCCAATCAAACTATCCATCTGTCCAACCATCAGTTGGTCCATCTAGAAATCCATCGGACATCCCATCTATGAAACCATCATTGAGTCAGTTCCCATCTGTTACACCATCAGGTCAACCATCTATGTCATCAGATAGTCCATCCAGGACCCCATCTCTCAGGCCATCCAGCAGACCATCGGTAACACCATCGGTAACACCTTCAATCAGTCCTTCCACAGCTCCATCCAATAGTCCCTCCAAGACAGCTTCTGAAAGCCCTTCTCTAAGACCATCATTGAGTCCATCCACGGAACCATCTGGCAGGCCATCTCTCAGACCATCATTGAGTCAGTTCCCATCTATGAAACCGTCCAATCAACCTTCCAGCCAACCTTCCAGCCAACCATCTGGCAATCCATCGGTAGCCCCATCTACCAGTCCTTCCAAGGCATCCAATAGCCCATCCATGCAACCATCCGTGATCCCTTCCATGGAACCATCGGGCAGGCCATCTGCGCAACCATCACTGAGCCAGGTCCCGTCTACCACGCCATCCCACCAGCCATCCTTGGCACCGTCAAATCGCCCTTCCATTGCCCCATCTACCAACCCATCCAGGACACCATCCGGCAGGCCATCTGTGCAACTATCTACGTCACCTTCGATGGACCCCTCCAGCAGACCATCCATGCAACCCTCGAGCAAACCATCCATGCAACCCTCCAATATTCCATCTCAGGGTCGATAGACCGGTCCATCTGTCACAACACCCTAGCTAGCTTGATCAGTACTGGTGGAAGTTCATTTTTCCATTCCCATATCATGTATATTATCATTATTATTGTTTGTAGGGTCAGCATAGCAGAACCACTAACTCTCTTCAATAAACACAACTAGAAAGCTGTTTATGTTAGCTGTCCAACATTTACTAAAGAGAGTCCGGTGCTGAAGCTTTCCTATCTCCCATATGTAGCATCGACAGCAACGTAAAAGGAGTTCAGTGCAACCAGGAGTGTTGCTGTGACATTGACAGATACTAGTCATTTTGAGAACACATCCCTGTTTTCATTGTGTTGGCTCCAAGGAACAGCAGTTTGTTGTCGGAAATTGAGCCAGAGAGATCGAAGATGGGCTCCGTGGAGGAGGCAGTTGCCGTTGTTCCGTGGCCGGAAAGTGACTCTTTCAAGCTGTCAGCTTTGACGACCAAAGGAAGTGGCTCCCCCTTGTTGTAGACGTTGGTGACCAAAGTGCGTGGGCTTGAGCACGGTGCTTGCCAGGTCATGGTAACGTGAATTGGGCTTGTCGGCGACAAAAGAGATGCCATTGTAGGTGTCAACGGCCAAAGAAGAGGTTGGCGATGATGGGGAAGAGTTGTTAGCATGAGCGTACTACACCTAGGGAGAGACGATTAGATAAGAGGAGTTGGTAGGGATAGGATCCGAGCGAGTATTGCGTCGCCGTTGCTTTCGTGAAGCAATGTTCCTTCATTGTAGCTGTTGTTCAGGGACTCTCTAGATGGTGTATCACCTGTCAGGAAAGAAGCAGTAGCGTGGACGAGACCAAAATTGTTGTTGCTGTACGTGTTGTCGGTGACCGGTGTGCCTCGTCGACGACTTTCTTGTTGTCCGTGGTGACCAAAATGGGCTTCTTCGAGAAGCAGGCAAGCGACGTAGAGGCCTTTTTGTTGCGCTTTCCACGGTCGGTAAGGAGGAAGTGTTGTTGCTGGCTGACATGATGAGCTTGCCAGTGTCTCCCCTTGTCTGTATGTCGTCTTCAGACTCTGCAGATGGCATACGGAACACATAATTGGCAAGCTGGTTGTTGTCCGTAGCGACCAGAAGTGGCTCCTCGTATGCATCGGTGACGAGAGAAGCGTCGTCGCAGGTATCATTGGGAACCAAAATGGGCTCGATCCTTGGAGGCGTCGGCAAATGACACATTGTGAGCGGCAAACTGTTGTTGTTCTTTCCACGATTCGACGACCAGAGATGGCATGGTTGTTTCGGCGTCGGTGTAGGCACCCGATTGGGTCGGAAGAGTGGCTATGGCTGAGGAAGTGATGTCGGGCATGAGCTTGCCAGCTTTTCCCCTTGTTCGTATGCGTCGTCAAGGGTAGAAGACATACCGGACGCGTTGATGGCAAGCGAGGTTGCAGTCACGGTTTCGTGCGGCAATCAGAGGTGATGTCTTGTAGGCTTGTGGGTGTTGACAATGATTGTCGGCTGTTGCTCCTGCGTGCAGTCGGGGGCAACCAAGGGTGTATCGGATGCTGCAATTGGATCGGCAATGAGACTGAAAGAAGTGTTGGTGTCATTGCGAGTGAAGTTGTCGGTCGTGAGATGATTATGTTCTTTGCTTTTAAAAGCCTGGCCCCGGCTGGCTTCCGTAGATAATTTCCCCTCTAAACCCCCCGTTATCTTGACTACCACGTGAAATCATTGTCGTCATCGTCTCCGATGTACTGTGTACGTGCAATTGTTGGCGAGCGTTGCAATAGCATGGTGCTTCGAGCATGGTCCATGATCAGCGTGGAATTGTAGAAGTAGCAGTCTGGACGAGGTTGGCATTCATGTAGGCGGCAATCAGAGATGACTTGTAGGTATTGTTGCTTGTGACTGATGAAAGCGTTGCTAGAATTGTACCTGGTAGCAGAGGAGGAAGTAAAGGGGAAGTCGAGAGGGAGAAAGGGGGGCAAACTTAGTGGAAGAGTGCAAGTGCACGGTCGGCATCCCAGAGAGAACAGCGGTAGCTCATTGTGCCAGCATGGACACGAGAGCCACGCATGCAGAGGTGGCGGGCCCGAAGAATACTAGCTAGGCTGAGCCGAGCATTAACGTAGCCACGTACCACTGAGTAAGGGAGTTCCCACTGTGCAGCGAGCAAAGAGGAAATGCGTTTGGCGAGTTCCTCAGCTTCGGCCCCAAGGAGACTGTCAGCAGAGACGACAAACGGAGTAAAGTGGCGGCGTTGGGAGAGACAGGTTTCGAGATATTTGCGTTTCTTGTCGCGTTCGCCTTTGCGAAGGACCTTGTGAGGATCCTTGCGACAGTGAGATGCATCGTCAAGACTGATGACACGGACATCAATTATGCCGTCGGTTCCACGTTGCCAGAGGCCACAGATAAGGAGATCACCTCGTTCCTCGGATGGGGTGAGAACTACAGGGGAGTCGCTGGAAGGCGAAGCATAGTAATGAGTGACGAGTGACAGTCGTCCTGCCAGGTATCTCCTTTGAGGTCTTGAGTCATTTGGGGAGAAGAGAGTAAACTGGCCCTCTCTGGTTGGAGACTGTCAAGAGCTCCAAGACCTGCTGGCTGGTTGCTGAATGCTACCAGACTCTCTCATGACTCCTCTTTTCCTTTCTTGGAGGAAAGGGCATCTTTCAATTCACAGATATTGTATCTTTCCTTCTTGCGAAATGTGATCCAAAGCTACACACACCTGAAAGCTAGAACCTACTAGAGCAGTTGACGATGTGTGATCCAAAGCTACACATCGATGATCGTCGTGAGACTTCCCATAGTCATATGACGGAGAAAGAAGCTCGCCACTTCAGCCAGCAATTGCAATGTCGTAACACTGGCTGAGAGAATGGAATCGAATCAGAAACAGAAGTTTCGTTGGTTCCAGTCAGAGCGATCCGGGTAAGCAAGGAAGCATAAGGGCAAGAAGCTCATCTTAGAGCCGTGCAATAATGATAGAATCTTGACGAGAAGTGTGATCCAATAGCAAATCTTGTTGTAAGTGAGTGTGATCCAACGATCCAGCAGCTACATCAAGCTGTGCTGTACCGCTGTACCGGTACCTCTACATGTAGCAAGCTTTGGGAACTGTGATCCAAATCTTCGCAAAACGGATACTGTACCATAACTTTCGTTGTGTGGAGACACAACAGGTTGCAAGTCTGAACAGCCCTCGAATGAATACTCATAGCATCTGGCTGTGGCTAGCCAGTAGTGAGAAGTGGGAAAGGGAGATACATGAAGGCACATGTGACATGTGAAGATCTTTTGCAGCTTTGGGTCATTCAGCTTTTTGCTTTCTGGTCTGAGACATGCTTCCAACACACTTCTTTCTTTCAAGAGTCATTATCATGGGTGAACGTGAAGTACCCTTTAAAGCTTCTCTTTTCTTGATCTGATGATGGCCAAACTGAGGCACAAAATTGCAATGACCTGGATCATGGATGCAGGTGAGTTAATACTACATCTTTATACTCAACTTTCGCTATTAACAAGCTATGACCACGGATATGTAAAAACATTCTGCTTTCTGTCAAAAGCCACTTCAGTGAAAGGATGGTGGAAGTTTGCTTAGCGGTTCTTTTAGAAGTGGATGGCCCTGCCAAATTCTGGATGAACTCACAGTAAATGGCAGAAGCCCATCGCAAAGCAAATCCTGTCTTCTCTCGCAACGACCGCAACTCCTACCCCAAGTACCCGAGTACCACTATAAAAGAATTGAGAAAAATGATTACTGGTGAGACCTCAGGAACTGCCATCGGCACCAATGGTACCGGTAGCACCGCAAGCAGCAATGACATCAATGTCATTGCGCATCATGAAAGATCTTTCTTCGAAGTCGGGATTTTGGAGAGTATCGACGAAGATGAAAGCGACGGTAGCTTTGCTTATGCGGACACCGACGACGATGGTAGCTATACACGCAATTCCAGTGCCACTGATCCCATGGTCAATGCCACGAAAGGAATCGATCATGGCGACGGTGATGAGGAGAACCCGGCCAGCCTGTGTGCCATGTCGGACTCATACCGATCCCTAGACTCAGAAGTGGATGACTCGCCTTGTTGGCGGAAAGTCCTCAACGACCTCATGTCCTCTTACCTCTTTGAATTGGCCAAGAGTGGCATCGCTTGTCTTTTTGGGCTACTCATGAAGATCATTCGTCACGGCAATGACAGTAATGACATGGCGGACGAAATTGTACAAGAAGTTGCCGATGCTGCGGATATGGCGGTCACTGGAGTCACTAATACAATGGGAACCACAGGAACCACAACTACTACAACCGCCACCGCCACCTCTACAAGTGCTGCTACTACATCCGCTGGCACATCTGCGGCTACAGGGACCAGTGCGGCTGCTACAAGTACCAGTGCTGCTACGACCTCTGCGGCCACTACAACACAATTTTCAAGTTTTACCTTGGTGGTAAGTAATACGGTATCATCCAACTATCTTGGCTACCAAGCGTCATTCGATCCAACACAGTACTAACTCTCTTGCCTTTGCCGTATCCCTGAATGCTGTAGACCCAAAGCAGCACTCATTTCGCAACAGTGACAGGTACGGCCAGCAAAAGTGGCCGATCATGATGCAGGGATACGACCGACTTCTCACACGTCTCTCCTTCGCCACTTTCTATCACAGCTTCCACTTCTAGTGCCACTACCGCAACCACCTCAACAGCAGCCGCCGCCACTGCTTCTTCTACCGCTGCAACGGCGGGACAAGCGACAGCCGTCGTGGTAAGTACCCACCCATGGGGGCAGCATGGTTTGCCTCATGTGATCCCATCAAGAATCCATCTCACTTTTCTCTTCTTGATTGGTAGGCACAAATGGCTGTAGTCTCTGCCCAAGGAGCTGCTGGGGCCACCGCAGCTGCCACTACAACAGCAGCAGCCACAGGAGCTGCAGCAGCAGGTGAGTACAGCCGTATCGTGACAAGACAGTTTCATTTTGACGCCTTCCCAACCTCACCCCCATCCTTTTTTAAACTATAGGAGCAGCTGGAGCCGGAAGTGCCGCTTCTGCAGCCCTGTCTGCCACGGCCACAGCCACGGCAACATCAACTGCCACCACACAAGCTGCTGTGGCTGCAGGTTTGGCAGCCGTGGCTGCTGTTTCTACCACTGCCGCTGTAGTCTCTCAACAGCCCCAACAGGTTCAAGCATACTACAACTTTGGAGATCAATTCGTTCCTCCTATCTGCTCTCTTGCATCTCAATCCAAACAAGGATGTATGGAGTTGCGCTTGAAAGGTTTGCCACCGGATATCTTTGAATCCAGTGATGATGACATGAAAAAATTTCAGCAGATGTTTCGAGATGTCTACAATAGTATCACAGGTATGTGCTTGGACACCTATGATCGAGTGATTCACAACGCCAAGCTAGTAGAATGGGAGACAGAGTGGGGAGACTATGCGAGCATCATGCAAGACAAGGAACATCAAGACTATGACCAAGCCGTGGTCAACAGTATCACCACCATGTACTGGGAAACAATCATTGATTGTACTGGGTGTCCTGATCATGAGCCACTCTTCTCAGTGCCGGATGACTTCATCTTACTGCAACAACAGAGGAATGATTCCCGCAATGATCACTTTGATTACTCCAATTTCTTTGGCCTCTTTGCAGCATCTTTTGGCTTTACTGTGGATCGCTATGTCAATGGCATCACCGTTTTGTTCAACGACACGCTCGTTTATGGAAATGAATCTGCTCTGGCTTTTCAAAATCGAACGGATGAAGGTATTCACGTCGTGGAGGCCAGTACAGTTGAGTGTCGCGCACCAATTGTGGGGGGCCAATCACAAGGAGCAACCAATATAACCAGAAGAACAGCTATTGCAACTGTGGACGAAAAAGAAATCTTGGCTGCTAGAACTGTGGTGGAGCAGAACAATGGTACAGTTGCAACTTCAACAGCTACACAGAATCTTGATTCTATTCAATCCTGCTTTGATGCTGGTACCAATGAAATTGTGGGTGAATCTCAGTTCTGCCAAACAGTAACACAAAATTCCAACATGCGAGGAGAAGAGCTTGCAGCATGTGCGCGTGATGCAGCTTCTGGAAATGCCAACAGAGAGTGCCAGGAAGCTTTGGGTAAAACATTGGACAACCTTCCACCAACAGTGGCGCCGACACCCTTTCCCACAATGCCACCAACATTGTCACCCACAAAGAAACCAACCCCATCACCAACTTATGAGCCAACTTATGAGCCAACTTATGAGCCAACTGGAGAGCCAACCAAAGCTCCAACACACAGTCCAACCAGTGAACCAACATTTCAACCTACACCCAACCCTACCCATGAGCCCACATTTTCTCCTACCACCAGAGATATTCCTGACTATTCAGGTGCAGCTGCACAAGGACCCCCATCACCAACTGGGACCCCAACTACTCTTGAGCCCACTTCAACTCCACCCACCCCAATCCCAAGCACAGCACACCCAAACACTTCGCGTCCAACAACAGCACGCCCGAGCACATCGGTTGTGAGTCAAGCCTCTGCCAGTCCAGCACCCGTCACTTCAAATCCAAGTACCACCCCGTTTCCACCCAGCGCTAAGACTGCCACTGCAATCCCTAGTCACACCCCCTCAACAACACGTCCCAGTACTCATACTACTTCTCCAAGTCCTAGACCAACCATGGCACACCCGAGTACTGCAGCACCCACTACACTGAGCCCAACTGTAACTCCAGCATCACCGAGTGTCAGCCCCACTACTGCACGTCCCAGTACTCTTGACCCTACTGTGTCTCCCAGTACTCTGGCCCCCACAATAGCTCCCACTACCAGTCCTACTACCAGTCCCACTACCAGTCCTACCACCAGTCCTACTGCCCGTCCTACTACCAGTCCTACAACTCGTCCAACTACCTCTCCCAGCACCAGTCCCACCACTGCAAATCCAAGCACTGGAGCACCTGCCACCATGCGCCCCACTGCGTCTCCAACTACAGATTTCCCCACACAAACTGATCCACCAACAAGCTTCCAGTGTACCCTTGATACAGAGGGAACCGCTCGCTACAGTATCACACTTGAGAATGCTCAGTCACTCTCAAATGATCAGCTCATTGAAGCCTTCATTGGAGCTGATGCTGCACTGGAGAAGGATGAGTGTACTCCTGTTGTACTCAGAGTATCCGTTGCAGGAAGAGCACAGGAAAGAAAACTGCAGGAGTCAGAATCAAGGCAACTTCAGTTAACAGAAATTGTTTCATTTAACGTTGAAGCCTTGGTAGAGCCTGAGATTTCCCCACTTGTGGATTTCAGCCTATTTGGTGGGGATGTAGGCGACGATGGCTTCACAGAGGCTTTCCGTGAAAATGATATCATTGTGGACAGTGGTGCTGTTGTCTTGGAAGCAAGGGATGTTGATCCACAGACAATACCACCAGCCAACGCACCAACAGAATTCCCAGATTCTCAACCAACCTTTGAGCCACTGGACTTTCCCACCTTTGAGCCACTGGACTTTCCCACCTATGAGCCACTGGAATTTCCAACCTTCGTGCCACTTGACTTCCCAACCTACGAGCCATTTGACTTCCCAACCTTCGAGCCACTGGACTTTCCCACCTATGAGCCACTGGAATTTCCAACCTTCGAGCCATTTGACTTCCCAACCTACGAACCATTTGACTTCCCAACCTTCGAGCCACTGGACTTTCCCACCTATGAGCCATTTGACTTCCCAACCTTCGAGCCACTGGACTTCCCTACCTTCGAGCCACTGGACTATCCAACCTACGAGCCATTCGACTCCCAACCTATGAGCCATTCGACTTCCCAACCTACGAGCCACTGGAATTCCCAACCTATGAGCCACTGGACTTTCCAACCTACGAGCCACTGGACTTCCAACCTACGAGCCATGGACTTCCCAACCTAGAGCCACTGGACTTTCCCACCTATGAGCCATTGGACTTTCCCACCTACGAGCCATTGGACTTCCCAACCTACGAGCCACTGGACTTTCCCACCTATGAGCCATTGGACTTCCCAACCTATGAGCCACTGGAACGTCAACCTACCTTTGAGCCACGGACTTTCCCACCTATGAGCATTCGACTTCCCACCTTCGAGCCACTGGAAGGTCAGCCTACCTTTGAGCCACTCGACTTTCCCACCTTTGAGCCACTAGAAGGTCAACCTACCTTTGAGCCACTCGACTTCCAACCTTGAGCCACTCGACTTTCCAACCTTTGCGCCACTAGAAGGTCAACCTACCTTCGAGCCAATGGACTTTCCAACCTTCGAGCCACTGGAAGGCCAACCTACCTTCGAGCCACTGGAAGGCCAACCTACCTTCGAGCCAATGAACTTCCCAGGTGATGATCAACCAACCTTTGAGCCACAGGGAGGACAACCTACCTTTGAGCCATTAGAAGGTCAACCAACCTATGAGCCATTCGAAAATCAACCAACCTTTGAGCCACAAGAAGGCCAACCTACGTTTGAGCCACTCGAGAATCAACCTACCTTCGAGCCAGTGGAACACCAGCCTACCTTTGAGCACAGGAAGCTCAACCTACGTTTGATCCACAGGGAGCTCAACCTACTTTTGAGCCACAGGAAGCTCAACCTACCTTTGAGCCGCAGGAAGCTCAACCTACTTTTGAACCACAGGAAGGGCAACCTACTTTGGAACCCCAGGAAGCACAACCATCAGTTGAGCCTCAGGAAGCTCAACCTACCTTTGAACCACAACAAGACCAACCAACCATTGAGCCACAGGGAGCTCAACCTACCTTTGTCCCACAGGAAGCTCAACCAACCATTGAGCCACAGGGAGGAGCTCAGCCTACCTTTGAGCCACAGGTAGCTCAACCGACCTTTGAGCCACAGGAAGCTCAACCGACCTTTGAACCACAGCAAGACCAACCAACCATTGAGCCGCAGGAGGATCAACCAACGTTTGTGCCACAGGAAGATCAACCTACAGCACCGCCGCCAACAGAACCAGTCACTGATCCACCTACTTTAATACCAACAATTCCTCCCTCTGAAGAAGCCACAACCTGTTTTCTTGACATAGCAGGTACCACATTTTATGGTGTCTCTATTGATGATGCTGGATCACTTTCAGACGAAGACTTAGTATCTGCCTTCATGGAAGCTGATGGCAATCTTGTAAAGGATGAGTGTGATCCCTCAGTGGATAGTGTGTCAGTTGTTGACCGTGGTCCAGTGAGGAGACATCTGATGTCACAAAAGCGAAGAGGGCTGCAAGACAGTGAACTTGTTGTGTTTGAAGTTACTGCCATGGTAGATCCCGACTTTAACCCACCAAGTGGATTCAGTTTGTATGGTGGGACTGTAGGCGACGACAGCTTTGTTGAGTCTCTTGATTCTGTGCAATTGATCATTGATAGTGGTGCTACTGTGGTGGAAGCTGGAAATGTCGCTGAACCAACAGACCCACCAACAAGTACTCCAACCAACTTACCAACAAGTACTCCAACCAACCAACCTACCAATGCACCATCAGTAGGTCCATCGGAGACTCAATCAGACTATCCATCTGTCCAACCATCGTTTGGTCCATCTACGAAACCATCAGATGGCCCATCTACGCAACCATCCCTGTCATCAGATAGTCCATCAGTTACCCCATCTCTCAGACCATCCAGGACACCGTCGATGGCACCATCAGACAGTCCTTCCATAGCACCTTCAACAGGTCCATCGGAGACCCAATCAAACTATCCATCTGTCCAACCATCAGTTGGTCCATCTAGAAATCCATCGGACATCCCATCTACGAAACCATCATTGAGTCAGTTCCCATCTGTTACACCATCAGGTCAACCATCTATGTCATCAGATAGTCCATCCAGGACCCCATCTCTCAGGCCATCCAGCAGACCATCGGTAACACCATCGGTAACACCATCAAACAGTCCTTCCACAGCTCCATCCAATAGTCCTTCCAAGACAGCTTCTGAAAGCCCTTCTCTAAGACCATCATTGAGTCCATCCACGGAACCATCTGGCAGGCCATCTCTCAGACCATCATTGAGTCAGTTCCCATCTATGAAACCGTCCAATCAACCTTCCAGCCAACCTTCCAGCCAACCATCTGGCAATCCATCGGTAGCCCCATCTACCAGTCCTTCCAAGGCATCCAATAGCCCATCGATGCAACCATCTGTGATCCCTTCCATGGAACCATCGGGCAGGCCATCTGCACAACCATCACTGAGCCAGGTCCCGTCTAACATGCCATCCCACCAGCCATCCTTGGCTCCATCAAATCACCCTTCCATTGCCCCATCTACCAACCCATCCAGGACACCATCCGGCAGGCCATCTGTGCAACCGTCTACGGCCCCTTCGATGGACCCCTCCAGCAGACCATCCATGCAACCCTCGAGCAAACCATCCATGCAACCCTCCAATATTCCATCTCAGGGTCCATCGACCGGTCCATCTGTCACACCACCCTAGCTGGCTAGATCTGTACGTACTGTATATCCTTGGCGCAACCACAGAGCGAGGGGAGGATGGGACCACACACGTGTGACATGGCAAGCAGATGAAACAAAGCAAGCGGGATTGCTGGCCAACGGGGTTTTCTGGCCAATGCATGCCACCGACGAACCACTCACGTTCGGCCAATGAGGCCAAAAAGGACAGCGACAGGGGCGCTTCGATTGTATTCGTGCCAATCTGGTTTTAGCTACGAGCTAGCTTCATGTACACGAGGAATGCCCTCGCTCGGTTGCTTAATACCCAAAATGGGGCCGTACTGTTTGCAAAATTGGCTGCCCCTTTTGCAACCAAATAACCCCAAAATGTTACTCCTGTAACATGCCCAGGGATATACGCCTTCATACTAGGGGAAATGACTTTCTCGGACAGAAACCCCTCAGGATCTGGGCAGTCCAGCCCGTGACTAGAAGAGAATTACCTCCCAAATGGGTAACACGATTTGTCACACTATCTAACCTTAGCCAATGTTACGCCCTCTAAGTCCAAAGCAAAGATGCCTTCTATGTAACGGAGCCTGCCAACTCGGCATCACATGAAGAAGAAGATGGCTCGCACATAATCAATCTATCTTCTTTCCTCATTTCCACGCTAGTAGCTAGCTAGTAAACGAAACAACAATGATGGCGAACGGCAACTCGGTCTTTGATGAGGAAGAAAACGAGAGCGACGATGAGCCTCCACCACCACCACCGCCGCCGCCGCCGCCGCCGCCTGAGGAGGAAGAGGAAGGATGGAGGTATCCTGTCAACAAGCAGCACCAGTTTTATATCAGCGAGTTAATGAGTCACAAAGACGGCCGAATTGACAACAAGTACCCTCGCAACAAGGAATACACGAAAGCCGAACTACTTTCGATTAAGCCCCATCATGTGGCACGGTATCTTGAATGGAAGGCCTATGGCAAGAGCAGGCCCGGACCAGATGACCGACCCACAAAGGCCAGAGCAGGTTCGCTCAAGAAATACAAGGGGGCAATTTCCTTTTTCATGATCAACAAGCGGGTTGGCTGGATGGAGTTTCCAGATGGCAGTGCAGGTGGAAATCCTACTCGCTCTGATGCAGTTAATGATGTCATTGCAACAGTGGAGAAATGGGAGACTCGAGATGAAGGAAAAGAGGCCAACGACAAGCGAGCTTACAGCCTTTCAGAATTCATGATGATTCTGAGACTGTTCAGGGAGTGCACGGATTTCAACCACAAGTACAAATATTTGACCATGTCACTGTGGATGTGTCACCTTGTCCATAGGATTGATGACACGGCTCATTTCAAAGTCGCCGCTCCTCATGGCAACAGGGCCTTCCCTTTTACAATCAAGACAAAGACATCCTGGAGTAGAATGTCAAAACCAACAAGAACTGCCCTGATCAGATCATGATGGCATCCAACGACTGGAAGAGTTGTGTTATCCTACATGTTAGCTAGTAATACTGCAGCTTATTGGGAGTAATTTTTTGATACAAGAAAAGCAAAGTGAGTTTTCTGGTGGTGCATAGCAATTTGTGATTGAATTGGATATAGGACCCCCGTAGCACTTTAGACCTAAAACTCCCTTGTTCCTTGCATTATGAATTTACATGCGAACCGGACTAGATGATTAATACACGATCAATAGTAAAGAGGTGTCAGGTATGTTTCCTCCACACACTCCTGCACGGTGCCCTAAGTGGCTACCGTGGAACGATAAAATAAATTAGGCAATCAAACAAGGGGTGGATGCCCCATGATGAAAGCCCTGTGCTTTCGGGAAGAGCTTGCCCTGAAGGGGCTTCGTGAAAAAATCTCCACGCATTCTCCAAGGTTGGGCATACACAATCTAAGGTTGCCTTTTCCATTTGGTCATGAATAAAAAAAAACGAATGTTGATGGCCGAGTTCTTTGCCCGAACTGCCTTGCCATTCTCTGCAAGAATGATGTGCTTTTGTTGTCCTTCATGAGGATGTTTGTCCTTGACAACGATCCCCTGCTCTTCAAGGAAACACTTTGCCACAACATGGGCGACATAACATCGTCAGCTCCAATCAATTCCGCTTCAGTTCTGCTTCTTGAGTTGAGCTTCTGTTTCGCGGAACAGAAAGCACCGCTCCTCTTCCAAGGACATGACTCCTCCTGTATGGAACGGTAATCAGGATGGACTGCAAATGATGCATCCACCACCAAGTGATGACACGGATATCACCAACGTGGAGTATCACTTGTCCTCCACTGTTTGGTCCAGAACTCAATCCTTGGATCAATTGCCCCAGTCATCAACTGTGGGATTCCTCACACGTGTGCAGAGAACAATTGTCAGTGTCTGAACATCTGGTCTTGCTCTCTTACACGCGAACAACAGCTTGGCTGCGTTGGTGTGATAGATTTCTCTGGTCTTGTCAGTCCAAAGCAGCTCCATCACCAGAACTGAATAAAAACGGCAGGTGCCGCGCTGGCACCTTCTTCATTTCTCGAAGTCCACCGGGAACTCCAAATCATCTTCTTAGATAGTCAATCATGTCAATGACTACCTTGCCTGATCGGAAAAGTCCACCGTCATCCCCAAATAGTCATGCTTGGACCAAGGGTATGCCTTCACGGCTCCATAGGTACCGTACTTGTCATTGAACCACTCCAGGCTTCTATTGTTTACCAGTTTCACCGGTGGCTCGACATCAGGTGTCCACATGGAAGCGTATCTTCTGCTGATATCCTTCAATAATCCTGTTGGCAACACACTGATCATACTGGTTGAATACGAATCCGATCCCACCAGGTCGCTCCCTGAAGAGCTTGTACCAGACCAATGGCTGCCAAACCATTCCGTAGAGGCTCTTTCCAAACGACATAGAGGACTGGTCGTCCCTTCTTGTATGTCAGGAAAGAGGCATATGTGTCAGAATCAAATTCGAAAAGTAAGTCTGCAAGGGTTCCCTTCAATGATCATGAGACCCTGTCTTCACCTTGTTTGACTCTGGCATTGGGGTTTGGATGAACGCATTGGGAACATCCAGGGACATCACATCCCTATCTTCAGGATGCATCGACACACATGGATAACATCAAACCCTCAAGTGAAACTGTTGGACTTCTGGCATCTTCTTTCTGATGGTACACCCTGTAGGTTTCCCATTGTAGACTGCACGGGCCTTGACCGTGCATCCCTTTTCTCACTCACAAACATGAGTGCACATTTGTGCCTTTTTCAATTCAGAATCACTGCATTTGTTTGGGTCGCTGGACTGAAACACACTCTGCTGGTAGCTGGTCCATCTCTTTGGCCCGCCTTTCTGGCTTTGTTCCCCCACACTTTCAGACCCTTGGGTAGAAGATGTTGTTGGGCATGGCTGCTCTCATCCTGACTTCTGCTGTGGCACTCCTGTGATTACAGAGTCCATGAACAAAGCTAGATGTTTGCTTGTCTCTGCTCATACAGTAGTGGTTGCTTCGCTTCGTCATCTTGACGAAGTGACTCCTTTCTTGCTTCGTTGGCGATCCGAGCTGAGCGCTAAATTCCAACTCGAGAAGCTTGAAAGCCTTGGCTTGTCCAGCGAGGTTCCATCATTGTACCACTGCTGGTGCCGTCTCTTCAAACAACTGTAAGGTTGTCTGGACTTGTGCTTGTTGATTCCTTGGAATCCCCTTTCTCCTTCTTCATCGAGTCTAATGTCTGTGGCAAACTGTTTGGATGCCCTTGGTACTAGCCCTGGGCGTTCCCATCCTCAGAATCTTCATCTGATTCCGTGGATTCCACTGAATCTTAGTCCGAAGAGTTCTTCCATAGACTGGAGGTAGCTCTCATATCCATTGACACCATCCACTCCTGCAGGCAAACACTACAGGTAAAATTCCACAAAGCTCACGGATGTGAAAGATTAGTGGTTCTTACCCTCACCGTATCCTTCTTTTCGCGCTCTGACTAACGAAAAAAACATAATAGAAAAAACGAGTAACAAAAAGCCGTCGGCTATTCGACAGTATGCGACATGGAGCGTGATCACCTTCTAAAGGTAACGCTAGGTCCATCACACTGCCAGTCCACCTGTGAGTTGTCATCAATGTACAGCGGAGATCCAAAACTCAATCTAATCGCCTGTGCTCCATGGATTGAGCTTGTATGGTTCGTTGGAACAGGACAATAGCTCCCAAAAGTGTACTGAATATCTTTGTAGCTATGTGGATCCGACCCTCCAAGATCTGCCTGGAGGAATATCACTTTAGAGATTCCATCCAAGCGCGGGGGAAAGGTGAGTTTACAATTAAACATCGACACCAATCACAATCATCAACCTTTGGCATCCACATGAACGGGTGAATGCCAGCTGCGCGGATGCGTCTCCTTCAAGGTTGGATGTTCCGCTCGGCGGACCACTGTGATCTGAGCTGCTCCATGGTTGAGCTGATCTCATCACGTCTTTGCACAGGAATCCACTCAAGGCTCTGACACTCCAGTCGCACGTATTCCTTGGATCTCGCGAAATCATAATTATTCCGTACCGACTCAAAAATCTTGTCAAGCGCCGGCATAAAATGAGAATTTTACACACTTCCTGAGTGTACAGAGGCCTCCTAGACTGCATTCACGGTTTCGGATTTCAAGTTCAGTGAATGTAAGAAAGGACAAATCTCACAGACAAAAACAACAAACCTATGCATCCGGTCAGTGAATCCATGTGTGGTGCCCACACGATCACCGGTAACAGTAGAATACTGTCAGCAGGTGGCGGGCGTCCTGCTGTAAGTAGAAGCCCTTGGCCTTGCCATGTCGTCCCGAAAATTAATCCGGCGCGATCGATGTCCTACCAGCTTGACGAGGAAGTCTCGTAATTTGACCAGTCTCTGATATGTTGCGGTATCCTCCAAGTGGTGGGCGCTGGAGTTTGTGTACAGATTTTTTGCGATAAATGCACCCTTGGCTTCTTTTTGGTAAAGCCTTCGAGTTGCCTTTCCACCGTCTGACCAAATGCTGAACTCCGGTGAA